ACTAGCATCTCTTATTTTGAACAACATAATCACTCCAAGAAGATTGACCGTGCTATTATATTAATGAAACGTAAAATGCTTTATAACATCGGCTCAACATGTCGGAATAGGTCGGATCAGTGACCTGCAAAAAATCCTCTGACTTTCATGGTAGAATTCGATCTCAATCGAGGTTTACAATCAGATGGGAACTTGAAGATAAAAACTTTTTCAAAATAGACATTATCTGTTTAGATGACAGTGTAAAGTATCGGATTATGGCGATTAAAAGAAATGAAAACTTCATAACTTTCTCCAACAGCATGACTTTCAGAAAGCCTCGAGGGACGGACTTGGTTATCGATTCTGAATTGATACCAGGCTTTTATCGGTCAAAGTCAAATGTCCCGACCCCGGGGTCGCTGCGCACGATCAAAAGCCCGACAGGGGGGAAGTCTCAGGCATCAAATCCCCTCCCCTTGCCCGCACTCCCCCCCCACGGGATTTACATTGATAGGTGCATAATACTAAAGGATAAAGAATAATATATACTAAACAAATACACTGATCTTTCCCCTGTATCTCAAAAAAAAAAGCCGACAACTAGATAAAAGGGTGAAACAGGTTAAATACGCTCTTCTGATGTATATGTGGATCTTGATGTAAATGTGTGAGAATCTCGATGTGCGTGTGTGTGACCTTGTACGAGCAAATCTTGATGTACGTAAGCGGAACTTGATAAATATTACTTTCATATGATGTTCTCTTATGCGGATCTTGATACGCGTGTGTAAATGTTGATATGTATATTTAAATCTTGTTTAGATAAATTTACATCTTGATGTATGTAAATTAGTCTTAACACTGATATATGAAACTTGATATATATAAATCTATCTTGATGTATATAAATAAATCTTGATATATTGTCCCTTTTGGACAAGCATAGAGGTTTAAACTTCGTTGAATACATCTAAATCCACACTGGCTGCCAGCCTTGACAAATGATTCAGCGAAGCTTGTTGCAACCGAAACAACACATAGTCAGTAACATCTTCATTAACATCCTGTTCCAATCTTCTCGAAAGATCTATTAGGTGTAGACGAAGGTTTTGCAAGAAATGCGATTGCTCAGGTGTCAAGTTCATTTCTAAGAAAAACGATCAAGGACGACGAGCGGCCATTTTTGATCGATGACCCGGAGACACTGGGGAGGAGTTTTCGGGCCTTTTTGTGTAGAAGTTCGCAAGTCATTCTGTTGTGCAGCGAAAGCGAATTCAAAAGTCATTTTGGGAGTCACTGAGTCGCGTTTCGTGTTGGGTGTAGTGAAGCACAATAGCGCGTTTTCGACAGTGACGCGGGTAGAAATATCCATGGAGTCGAAATCCCCATGTAAAAACGGATCCTTCATTTCTTTTATCAAATAATCCTCCCGTTACATATTTTGCAAGTAAGCATGCAAACGGATTTCAAAAGTAACGGACGATTTGAAAAAAATTGTATTTAAGAAATCGTTTCATATGTTTTCATCATAAAATAATCCTACTGCTACGTAATTCTCAAGTAAGAATGCAAACAGATTTCAAAAGTAATGATAGTTTAAAAAAAACACGTATTTACGAAATTGATCATCGAATAATCCTTCGCAAGTAAGCATGCAAAAAAGTGATTTCAAAATTAATGCGAGTGAGTTTAAACAATCGTATTTAAGAAATTGCTTTGTTTGGTTCCATAGAAAGCCTGCAAAAAGATTTCAAATTAAAGTAATTATGCATGCACGTAAACCATTCTCAAATCAACTCGAGTAAGAAGTGTGGATTTGAAAGTCATGACAGGACGAAAGGATTCCATCGCAAGACAGCACGTCAAAACAGGTCACAAACCGACACTCATCATCTAAGAGAATCATTTATTTGGCAACTCAGTTTGTGTGGTAACTACACACTTATTTTTGACCCTGAAAATGCGCCATAGCTATTACCCAAAACTAAGACTGACCAATTCTGTACGCCCCTTTTTCAAAGCTGATTTTGACCAATACAATTAAAACGAAAAGCATAACTGATACAGAAAGTATAAAAGTACAAGGAGGCATGTTTAAGAAGGGAATCCAATACAGTCTTGAATTCTGAATACCACGTCGTGGATTCCAGATTCCAGGTACTGGATACCAGTCTTTATCAGTGGAACTTTGGACTCTGGATTCCAATGGTTACTGGGATTCTTGATTCCTTGAGCTGTATCCGAATTCCGTATTCCAAAGCCCAGGATTCCTGATTCCACAAGCAAGAATTTCTGACATTCCGGAATCCGGATTTCCTTACACGGGGCAATCTAGACAATTTACGTTTACTTTTACAAGCCATAGTGTTTATATACCGTTCGATTTTACGCAGTTTTCTATTTAAGCACAAATATTTCGACCCTCAGGCAGGGATGAGTGTAGTGAGAAACTGGATAAAACCGAACAAATCTGGCTTTCACGTTACGCCTGAGTGAGTGTTTTACAATAGTGTTTCTGTCCTGGTTTCCTGAGAACACCTACAAACGATAGAGAATAATATCAATGAAAAAAAATAGAGCACATAAAAAAAAACATTAACAATACTTTTTACATTAGAATGGTTGTGAATTTGTCAAGAGTATTTTCGCGATTGTTCCTCACTCGTCACTTTCTCGGCTTTAATCTGCGCTGTTTTACAGAACGCTTTTTTTCCCCCGTAAGTTCATTCAGCTTATTAAATATTTCAGCATTACATGTCCAATATGAAATCCAGGCACTTGCTAAATTTAAGCGTCCAGAATGTACTAGACTGTATCTCAGAGAACTTCAATCTCAAAAATTTTCCCAGAGGAGCATTCGCCCGAAACTCCCTAGAAAAGCGCTTCGTTCGCAGTCCTGATGGGTGCTATTGCGCCCATATTACCACCGTATACTATTGCTGGTTTGCACGTGACGTCACGGCGGCCATGTTGGTGGTCAAGAACAAAAGCATTTCTCTCCTCTGGGAACTAAACTCTTTTTTCATGTACATTCTTCGAGGAAATATTCTTTTGTTTTGACCCCAAACATGGCCGCATTGTCACGTGGTTGCAAACCAAGAATATCTCTAGGCCCCCTCTATCACAAAATCCTCCATCTGCCTCTGCTTGTCAGATCAAATATATGTTCATATGTTCCCGTGAAAGATACATAAAGAACTGCGGAAATGAAATCAAGTGAAGAATGATCCTCGCAGTTGTGAACGCATTTTGCGTAAGAGGCCTGAAAAAATTTAGGACTTCAATAGGATTTGAACCAGCCATTTTGCAATGTTCACTCGTGAACACCGTTGAAGGCCTGATTTTTTTTTTCCAAGCTTCTTACGCAATTGTATAAATTGCGTTCACAACTGCGAGGATCATTCTTCATTTGATTTCATTTCTGCTGTTCTTATACGTGATTTATTTAGTAAGGAGCTCCACGCGAGCGTAGCCCCACAGGCATACCAATGTAAACTAACCCAATCAACAGGTATGGGAACCAAATGCAACTCGAAGTTATTTTGGCGGGAAATCGCATAGCCACCCGCGTCTTGTGAGGCAGAGACAACTAAAGAGTCAATAAAGACGAAAACGGACGAAAACGGAAAGCGTCTAAAGTATTAAGCTTAGATTGTCATGTCCTCAAATTTGGAATATAGATAAAGAGAAAGACAGAGAAAAAGAGAAAGTAGGCGACAGGTCAGCGAAGTTTAACGAGAAAAAGAACGACAGAGAGATACAGCGAGAGAGAGAAAACAAAGGAAGGCATTTTTTTTGTTGGAAGAAAACATGAAAATTTTGTAGCGGCGGTGAGAAAATGAGAAATGCCAGGCGGCCACCAAGGTAAAAATGAGCCGCAGTGAAAAAAATAAAAAAAGAGTGAACAAGAACACGTACGACATTTCCTCCATAAAACGTGTAACTAGGAAGTTTCTGCGAGTTTCACTTTGTAGTTGGCAAAACAACAGCAAAGAAATGTTCAAAAGTGTGATGCACGTGCAAATTTGCTTTTTTGGATAATTAGACCTATTGTTATTTTTCACCGTTCTCGTTGCCTTCGCCGCTTAGCATTACACAAGTTTATATTTTGTTTGAGAAAACTATAAATATTATCGAGAGCTTCGCCTTGAGCCCTGGCAGCGGGGAACATATCAACACATAATTGACCAGCTCCCAACATCAGTGGCGCACCGGTATCGCGAGGTCACGGGTTCAAATCCTGTTGAAGTCGTGAATTTTTTTCAGGCTTCTTACGCAATTGCATAAATTGCGTTCACAACGGCGAGGATCATTCTTTATTTGATTTCGACTATTTTTCACTGTAATAACCGTTAACTTAATTCAGTAAGTACACCTGTAAGTCACTGATGAAATTGGAAAGCTTTTTTTTTTAATTACTGGTGTTTATGCTGCCATTCCCACAACAATACTTCCCCATAGTTTTAAGTTTTAATACGAATTACGAAAAACTTTTCCCAAATTGGAGCACCGCTTAGATTCCTACAAATTGTGCCATATTGTTATAAAGCGCATCAGAACACATGTTTGTAAAGTCACAACAAATCACAAAAGAGGGAGAAAAAAAAAAGAAAGAAAGGCACACTAAGAAAGACAAAATACTGAGTGAGTCAATGAACTTACTTTTTCCTCATTATTTTCATTGTAGGTGTTCCAGGTGATTGCGTTTGATGAAAAATGAAGTTTGTAGCTGGTGGTACCCGTGCGACTATCCTTGTGGCCCTGTGTTGCTACTGCACAAACGGTGTACTCCTTACCCATATCAACTTGAAGGTAGTCTGTTCTGTCAGTCGTGGTATCTGTACACCACGCTCCATGTCCCCTGCTGCCATTCAGTCGGCCGTAGTATGGGTAATACTCATAATTATAGTATGTGCTTGCCGTCATTCTAGCGTCAGGAATTGAGCTTTTGCTTGCTACTCCTAATGGAACACATGCTGAAAAACAAGAAAATGACAGTTTGATTCGAACGATTATAATGATTGTTAAATCAGTACTATTATAAATAAAATATTACCAAACAGTGGCTCTTAAACTGCTGATCTCTTATTGGGACCCCAAAATGTGTGTTCTGCAAAATCTTAAGACTGCTGCTCAATGTTTGAATATGATTTACACGAACGGCGGAGTTTAATTTGGAGTCATATAATCGGAGTTAAAAGAGTGATTATTAGCAAGTGAAAATTTAAAAGGGAATTCATCAGCTTGATGGAATCACAGGAGAAGGAATAAGAGCATTACTATTTGATTCCGACTCCACTCACGATTCCATCGCTTACCATCTAGAAAAAAATCACATCTTCGAAGTCGGAAGTAAAAGACGAAGGGGCATCACCACACTTCTCAAGAAGGGCAATTTTGCACGCATTATAGTGCCCGATCTGTCAGCGGTTTTAAGGAAGGTGGTGGTAGGTACTTTAAGTAGGGTTATTAAAGTGTATCAAGACTGCATTTAAAATAATGTATTGACATGTATACCCATGTAATGTCATGTATACCCATGTATAACCATGTATTACCATGTATAGCCATGTAATGCCATGTGTAGCCATGTATTACCATGTAATGCCATGTATAGCCATGTATAGAGCCATGTATAGCCATGTATTACCATGTAATGCCATGTATAGCTATGTATAGCCATGTATTACCATCAAGAGACTATAAAGGGGACAGAGAGGCCATCCCCCATAGACACCCTATTCCATAGGTAATTCGTCTCGAGTTATTTTTAGAATTGGGATAAAGTTACCTCGCGCGAGGCGTGGATGTTTCGTGGAGGTTTCGCATGACCAAACGCCGTGCAAAACATGTCGGGCGAGAGGCAATGAAAGCGTAAAAAGATCGAGAGCATTCCTGAATATTGAAGCGAAATGAGTCGGCGCTCACCTGGGAAAAAGGAATCGCTGGACTCTTTGACAACCCGTGAAATCAGTTTAACTCGAAGTTGTCGTAACCTCAGTGCTTTAATAAAATGAGAAATTTCGCCGGTCTATTGAAACCGGTCGTTTGTACAATTTAGGGAGTTTAAGATCCAACGACGCGGACGACAACTAGAACGTCAAAAAAACAATAGGTTTAATTAGCAAAACAACAACTTCGCACGTGCAACACACTTTTTTGTTCATTTCTTTCCCGTTTTTGCACGACTACGACGTGAAAATGCCTAATTTCGCGTTTTATGGAGGACGTAAATAAGCAACGACGAAATTTTATTTCTCTTTCTGAGCTTGAATATGGTCCCTTGAAATTCAGCTTTAGGAGGGTTCGCCTACAATTGACAAAGTAAGTGGGTAGGAATAATCGCTATAAAGACTGAAAAAAATAAACATCAAACCAGAAATTGCTCTCTTCAAACTGTAAATTATAAATGATCCTGAGAGAATATTCAGTGTGTTAAGGATTTCCCTGCTCTACTGTTAGCTCTATACAAGAGAGGAAGGGCGATTCTTTTTTAATTTCGGTTTCGCTGACACAGCTTTCGCAGAAATCTCGCTGTAGTCGTTTTCGTCGACAAAAGGAATAGCAAAATCGCTCTCCGCGTCTTCCCCCATTTTGTTCTGCGTCATTTCGTGAAGGACGCGTGGCTCTCAGCGTGGGTCATCCACGCGGAACACATTCGAGCTATGTGATTGGCTGTTGTTTAATCCTCCTCGAGATCTGTGGTGTTAAAAATAACTCGAGACGAATTACCTATGGAATAGGGTGTATATGGAGGATGGCCTCTCTGTCCCCTTTATAGTCTCTTGATTACCATGTATTACCATGTATACCCATGTAATGCCATATATTGCCATGTATTAATATGTATAGCCATGTATAGCCTTGTATAGCCATGTATAGCCATGTATAGCCATGTATTGCCATGTATAGCCATGTATAGCCATGTACATATACATGGCTATACATGGTAATACATGGCAAAATATATGGCATTACATGGATATACATGGCTATACATGGGTATACAGGGGTATACATGGTAATACATGGCTATACATGGTAATACATGGCAATACATGGCTATACATGGTAATACATGACAATACATAGTAATACATGTCAATACATGGCTTTACACGGTATTACATGGCAATACATAGTAATACATGTCAATACATGGCTATACATGGTAATACATGGCAATATATGGCATTACATTGCTATACATGACATTAGAGCGGTTTTCACTTGACTGTCGTAAAACCAAAACCAAAGTAAATACACTAGCCAACCAAAGGGCGTAGTAAAACCAAAACCAAAACCAAAACCAATCCCTTTCGACAGTCAAGTGAAAACCGCTCTATATAGCTATACACGGCATTACATGGCTATTTTGATACATTTCTTGATACACTTTAATAACCCTACTTAAAGTACCTACCGAGGTGGTATTTTGAGCAGCGTTTTTAGCAATCTGGCGTATACTTAAATTACATTTGGCCAAGGAGGGAGGGGGAGGGATCTATCACGCATCACGCTGACCTTTTTAAGGCATCACACATAACGTAAATAAGGTGCAATTGCACGATTTTAACATAGCAATATCTCACCCACTGAATGAATCAGGTCCAATAAATATGCACCTTATTTACGTTATGTGTCATGCCTTAAAAAAGGTCAGCGTGATGTGTGATAGGTCCCTCCCCCCTCCCCCCTTGGCCAAATGTAATTTAAGTATGCGCCAGATTGCTAAAAACGCTACTCAAAATACCACCTTTTAGACAGTTTTTAGCTTACGGCAAACGGCAAACGGCAGATTCAAGTTGAGAATTTCTCAAAATAGAAAATGAGCAGATAAAAACAGCTCAAAAAAATTCTTATTGGTAAAAAATTGCGTGAAACCACTAATTTACCGTATTTATTCGATTAAACGTCGCCCTCGAATAAATGCCGTTTCATGATGCGGCGTTTATTTCAATAATAGACTCAAAAAGCAAATTCAGTGATAATCTAGGTTGAGCCTAAAAAAATATTTTTCTTGATTGTAACAATGTTTTAAGATCAGTACATTCGAAGCTCAAAGGAGTTCATCTTAATTAAGCTTTGGAAATTTGCTTTCATTGATAACAATGTTTTTCAGCTCGAAGTGAAATTCAAATGTTCAGTTACCTTACTATTGTTTGCAAGAAATCAATTGAATTTTGAATTAACGCCGCCCTAGAATAAACGCCGCACTCGAATCACGAAAAATCTAATAAACGCTGTGGCGTTTAATCGAATAAATACGGTATGTTTAGTGAATAATGCACAGTAAACGACAAGTAAAAGGGAAACTTGGTCAAGGGGTACAGATTTGCGTTTGCCGTTAGACGTGAAAGTGATGCTTAACCTCTCTATTAACTATATTCACAAGCACGATTCCAGGAGTTCAGATAGCAGAGCGCGGAATTTAGATGGTGGGGAGCGAGTTAAATCGTACGCGGAGAAAACGAGGGGATGATAGGAGAGAGCGAGAGTTTTCTCCCCTTTTTCCTCCATAGTCTCTCTGTAGTCTCCCCTCGTTTATTTATTTTTTTTTTTTTCGTCATAAATTTTTCGCCTGCCTTCTACAATCTGAACGCCTGGAACAGGCTAAGAATATAGCGAATAGAATTTCTAGTACGATTTTGACAGGAGATTAGGCGAGCTTGAGCAACGAGATAAATGACCAGAAAATGAAGTCATGACTGTCTGTTTTTGATTTCTGTGTTTCTAGTTTCAAATGATATTCACCAATCACGGCAATCCAAAAGGAAAATCACGCGTCACGCGTTATGAAAATAGTAAACCGCGCACCCTGCTAAGCCCGGTCACACCTCACGCAGCTAATGTGATCCCGATCACGCATCACGCTGATAATTTGGGGCCATCACGCGTCACGGAAAACTTCTTTGCCACTTTGCCACCCTGTTACATTGGTTGTGTACATGGCGGATGGAATTCAATTTAAAAAGCGCCCCAAAGTTGCGCTTAATTAGAATTATCATCGACGTGCGGGACCTGATTATGATAACAGCGCCCGAAATAGCCGACTTTTGCGTCAAATCGATTGGAAATCGGACGATGTAAAGGTAAGGACTGCTCTTTCGTGATATGATATTGCCTGCGGAAAGTATGTTAAAAATATGCTAAACAACTGTTTCATTTTTCAATGTACATGAGCGAGTTTCGTTTCACGATTCCGCGATTAATTAAATTTTACGAGCCAGTTTAATAATATAGGGCTGGCGAATGTTGCATAGAAAATCGTGGTCCGGTATTTTCCGTCTCGGTGCCTTGAAAGTAAGCCTCGAATTTTATAGCAAAGTTCTCTCCACGTGTTGAGAAATTTGCCATTCGTCATTCTTAGAGAACGAAGGCGAAAGGGTAAAGTACAGACCAGTTATATATGCCTCCCTATTATTTCCACAAATTCTATGGTACTGATCATGATATATGACGATACCCATATCAACGAGTCTCGACTGCAATAATAAGCTCTATCTTACCCGACTTCAAGGTTACTTTCATAGTAGAGAAAGTCGCCTTAAAAATTTCATCTGACGAGGCAACACAAGTATATCTTCCCGGGTCCTCACGCTCTCTAAGGTTCCAGATTTTCAAAGTTCCGTCAGCACTGACGCTTGATCTTTCTGCAGGTAGCTTGCCGCCCTCCTTCCTCCAAGTGATTGTTGGTTGTGGATCTCCAGCGGCCTGGCAGCGGACTGTGATATTCTGATCTACGCTCACTTCAAGCTGTGACGGTGGGCTGACAGTAAAACGGGGCAACTCAACAACGTTAAGTTGTGTAACAGCCGAGTCATGTCCTAAAACATTTGAAGCTTCGCATTTGTACAGACCAGAATCACTTTTTTTAACACCTAGTACTGACAATCGTCCATCTTTCTGAAGGGTTCTTGCTTGCACCAGGCTTCCAGGATTTTTACGCCAAGTGATCTTTGGTGACGGGAAGCCAGTCACGTGACATACCGGTAAGGTAATGTTTTTGCCCTTAATAACATGAGATGGGCCAAATGACAAAGATATCTTAGGTTGACCTGAAGAGACAGACATACAAAACAAAATAATATAAATAACAAGTCAAACAAAGACTTCACAGAAGACAAAATCTAAACCAAATTTTACTCAGAACGAGCTGTTAAACAAAGGAACAAAAAGTCATTGTTGTCGTTTTGTTTTGTGCAACTTTCGGTCAATCTTTTATTATTCACTAAGTGAAATAAAAAGTTTAAAAGGAAAACATGCAATTTAAATAAACTAAAAACTTCAAAAGGTTGACTAATGATGCGTTTACACAGGTAAATTAATTATTCATAGAAAGGAAAGTGTGCATGCCATGTCATCAATTATCACGTCAGCTCCATGTTCTTGTTAAACATCGTGCAGAAGATTAAAGATAAACCACATCAAAAATTAACATTCTTAACCCTATTCAAACCGGGGGAGTTCTTAAACCCCCCTCGCGACTGGAAAAGATGAATTAATTTCTGGGAACATTTTTTTTGAGTCGTCGTGAGGTGATGCTCAACTTTGATGTTACCATGGCAACCGAGTTTTGGCAGCCTGGTTTTCCAAAATTTTGCTTAATTTTTCCTATAAATAGGATTTACTTCTATGTTTAGTTATTAATTATAGCATTACAGTTAATTTACCTATATTTTTTTAATCAAAGTTATTATAACTGTTATGGTAACGCAGGCTTTTTAATGACTGAATTGAGATAAAAAGAGAGAATTGAAAATGATCAATTCTATTTTTTTAAAAGTCTAAATTACTCCCGGAATTTTATAACTTGATGAACTTGTTGTTTCCTAAACATCCTTTTTTCCACACAGTTCTTTCTTTTGCCTTCTGCTAATAAATTGAACGTCATTGTGTCAGCCAAGTTATGCCTAGTCGTTGGAAATGACGAGCACGTTATTCTCTGTAATTTTGGTGACCGCACAGCGGTTTTGAAGTTATAAAGGGGACACCTCCGAAGCCTTCCTCGGTCGCTGGAAAGCCAGGTCTAAATAGGGCCGCATATGAGTTCAAGAGAAATCACCGTGAAATCCGCCGAAATCGCAGCAAAACTGGCACAAAAAAGCCGCGTTCGTTAGTGGACCGTAGAATTGACTAAAAACCAGAACGAGCTGATCACTTCGTCTTAACAATCAGTTACTGCTTACTTTCTACAACCAGACTCGCACGTTTTTCTTCCCTTCCCAGAATATTTCGCGCCACGCACTTGTATGTCCCAGCGTCCTCGAGTCGCACTTTATTAAACTGCAGCAGACCTTCTGAGGAGACCTTTGTTCGGTTGCTAGGAAACACGCCGCCTACACGTGACCAAGCTAGTTGTGGGACGGGATTTCCCGAAACAGAACACAGTAAAACCGCAGTGTTACTCTCGTTCACTGTCAGATGAGAAGACGAAACTGTCACTTTTGGAGACGAAATGGATTCTCCTGGTTCGCCTTTCATCCTGGAATACCCGGTGCACCAATATCGCCTTTCGCTCCTTTTTCTCCTCTTATTCCTGGTGGCCCCATAATTCCTTGTTTTCCACTTCTGCCAGGCTGTCCCATCATTCCTTTTTTACCCCTCCTCCCTTGGTTCCCTTTGTCGCCTTTGGGTCCATCTCTCCCAGGAGGTCCCGTCATTCCACGCGGGCAAACGTTCCAGGTTCCAGTGTTTTGACATATCTTCTTAAAGCTCGAGGTAACAACATCTTCTAAGACCTGCTTCATGTTAGCTGACGTATTAAATGGTTGGTTATTTGTGATGTGCCGCGCAACTCTACGCAGTTTCTCATTGGTACTTTCCTCTTTTTGCCTTGGTTTCTTTAGGAGCATTGAATTTCCCATGGCTAATGGGAGAAAAAATTAAACGCAAAAAGTATCAATCAATCAGCAACTTTGTTCAGTTATCGATTAATAAAATTGTGCTCACTGACAAACACATTGCCATAAATCTAGTAAAGTGGACTATTAAAAAAAAAAAGCTAAATACCTGCCGGTAGCCGCCATTTATACAAGGAAAATATCAGTTTCATGGGCGAAACTCAGTTTTAAAGCGCCCGATTTCCGCCCTTAAAATTCTCGAAAGCATGCTAATAGAATTAAAATTCCATACATTATTAAAAGTACTACTCCAAGGGCTAGATGTTTAAACACGTGTTCAAACGTAGGTTTGCGCCGCAATTGATAACTATCCAGAAGGACCCCCAGCAGAGTAGGGAAACAATTGCGTTGTCCATCGGATCTATAGATTTATTTTGAACAATTGGGGCCAAGATATTTTCGCATCGCTTGCAATTTTGCGGATCTTTCTTTTTCAACGTGCAAGTTTGTTTCCGTAAGCCATCGTCTCTTGCGTCTCGATTTAATAACAATATACGTGACAGTTGATAGCAATGGCCCGCAAAAAGTTGTCACGCCATTCCGTAGGGAACGAGTGCACACCACCATAACACCAAACCCAAACCCTCCCTCGTTTCAATTAAATCATTGTGTTCATGGAATGCAATGCCCGCGATGAATTCGAAAGGAGCTAGCGTTAATGGATTAACTTGTTAAGAAAAAAATATATATATCGTCAAACTTTTCCTCCAGTTGAGGTGACCGCCTTTCTATGTTTCGTCATTTGAGAAATGACTTCCTCGACAGCCAACAGCCTTTCTTCGTGATCATTAAACTTCACCTCGACTCTAATAAATCCCGCAGAATAAAGAAGCAAACAGAGAACAGACAGAGCTGTTCCGAAGCTTACTGGAACGGTGGTACCTTTCGAAGACATTTAGTTGTCAATAAAGTGTTGTACAATGTACGTGCTTGAGGAAAACAACACGCTATGGTGCTTCCTGTAATTTTAAGCCGCTGATAAATCGGATGTTTCATCTGATGATCGTTCGGAATGTGGAATTTGACCTTCAGAATTTGGAAAATGCAATGAGTTACAAGGACGTCTTTCCTCGAAACTTGGCTGACCCACTGTTTATGGTCCAGATGAAAAAAACAAAAAAAAAACAAAATCATGCAGTATACATAAAGTTATGGTGTTCGCTAATTACACAGATAAGCCCTTGTTCTTTTAACGATTAATTTTAGAGCGAAATGCAAGGAGAAAACGAAGTTGATGGTGAGATAGTTGGTGAAATATGCTAAAATTTACGATTGTTTTTTTTTATTATCTGATTAAAACCCTTCTGAAAAGACAATACTAGTTGCGTTCGACGTTAGGAGAACGCAACACATAATCTTGGGATTCCTGTGGTACTCACTTGGGGTTACTGTGGTACTCAAGGGTGACCTTTTCAGCGAGCGAGTTTCGTCGTACGTCTGCATTTTCTGCGCCATCTTGAATAATTTAGCTCGCGTTATGTACGTCATAAGCAATTGTAATATGGCAATCACGTGTATCACTGGTTCCATCAAGGTCAACAAGATGATTACACGGGAATATTTGAGTTCGGCAAAAGAATGAACTTTGGAGTTGTGGAGTTGTTTTCTAAGCGGGTTTTATCACTGAGCTGATGATTAGAGGAGAAATTGTTTTTTATCCCAAATTTTTTCCAGACCCCTACTAATAGCACCCATGTTTTTTAAGTGTCCCTCTTCAATCATGTTAAAAGATTTAAGGGCCCCCCTTTCTTACATACTACCCAAATGGTAATAACAAATAATATTTTCTTTACTTTACCGTTCTTACTCACTCGGTCACTTCCGAATGTGCTAACTAACAACAGAGAAGCACTTCACACTAAACTGACGAAGAGATTTCACCTAGAGCCTCTCAAACAGGTTATAGAGCAAATATATATCAGTGATTGTGTTAGAATTGATATAAGACAGGCCATCGAAAGGTTAGAGGCCGACAGGACTGCTTCAAGGAAGAAAGAAGATAATCAGCCAAAGCTTACTGCTTTTTATATGAGCAGTACATGCTCTAATAGCAAAAAATGTGACAGTGACACAGACAGTGCGTAAGTCCACATCAACCTCATCTACAAATAATGATTCGGACAGTGAGATTGCATAGCATGACTTTATGCATGTAATCATTTGTTAAAATGCCGATGAAATTGTTCCAATGTTACACAATAATGGATGTTGTGTTGATGCACCTACTATTTGAGCATTAAATATTTTTGTCAAAATGCTGATTAAATTGTTTTAGTATTACAGAATATAGGACTTTGTGTAAAACTGAATCTAAATCAGGTCCTTTAACACTCAAACATCATGCTGCTCAGTAGGGATGCTACTTAAAAGAAACTTGAAGATCCCCAAGACTGTTTCCAATTTACCAATGTTTCGTTCAATTTATTATAACTGTTTGTGTAATCCAGGCTGTTTTCATTAAAATGACTGATTTAAGCAAAAACATAAATTTAAAATGATCAAATGGCAGATGCTGGGTTCAATTTTAAAGAATTTCACACCATTTTAAAACCGAAGGATTGTTTGGCTTTCTTAGCGTCCTTTCATACAAGGATCAATTTTTCTATCACGATTGGCTCGATTTACACGGGTTTTAAGTAAAATTGGATGAGTAAATAATACATAGCTTCATGACATCACTGCTTTTGTTAAGGTGGCTGAACATAGTTTTGCGGGCGGTCAGCGGTAACTCGCGTGACGGCTCGTTGTTTCAAATAAGAAAAAACATGGCGGCGAAAAAGGCAATGGTACACAGAAGACGAAAAAATAAAATTGATTAAGAAAGCGTGCGAGTTGCGATATTAATCCAGAAACTTTTCCGAGTATCGGCATTGAATGTAAGGGCGCTTTCCAAAAGTCACAGCAGGCCGGCCGGACCATGGCAGAACCAGTCATTTCGAAAATGAACTGGGCGCATTCCAAGAGCCCGGAGTTTTTGCTGAAAACCCATCTCCGTGCGTAGTATATGGGATTTGACTGATTTGGCTGGATAGTTTTGATGAACTGGTGAGATTCCCTCTGGCTGGTCAGACAAATGAGAAGCGCCCTAAGTTATTGACTGAGTTCTACAAGGACGTACAAAACTCAAACAATCCAAATATTAAGAGGTAATTCAATAAAAATCTACAAAACTCAAATTATTATGTTAGCAAAATTTTAAAGGCCAGAAAAAAAGTCCATTTACAATTGGCACAAATTGAGTTTAATGTTTATTTGTTTCCTCCAGCGATCTAGTGATGGACAAATGATTAACTGTTCAAATCTCTCGCTATTGTTTCTGAGTTTTAAAACAATTCCCACACTCGAAAAAAATTACCCTCCAAATTCTTGGTTTTACCTAATATTTTTGCCTGGAACTGTCATCCAAGAGTATGATCTCGCTTTGTTCCATAAATCCTAAAATGTGGTCACGCCCTGAGGAAAAAAGCTCCTACGCTGATAACCGCTTGTTGCTATGAAGGTGACCCCCTATGGTCATATTTGTTGAAAAATACTTTCACTGTCCTGTTTACTTCACAAATACATTAATTATTCGATGTAAATTTTTCTTCCTTTTATTTGGCCGAAAGCCCATCACATGACCTGCAAATAACTGCCTACAAATAATGGTCTGCCATGCGCAGTGTCGTCTGGCCTGAGAAAACAGCCGACATTTGACGACTACACCACTCGTTTCCCCGCCAAATGACGTCTGAGAAACGAGTTCAGAAAATCCGTACTGATGACGCGTCACTCCCCAGATCTGGGTAGGGCTTCTGATTTGTCGTGCACGTGGGAAATTTGATTCAACCAATCAGAAGCACTACCCAGATCTGGGTAGTGAAGCATCATCAGTACCGAATTTCTGCACTCGTTTCGGGAAAACCAGTTGCAGCGTTGCCAAATGTCGGCTGTTTTCTTTGGCTAAATGTCGTCCGTAAACGAAACCACGATTTTCTCCTTCTTGCGATCGCTCTTGCGTGAAAAATGGCAGATCGCTTCGCTTCCCAAAGGTGTTCATTAAATAAACAAACTTGGTGATCGAATGATAAAACGATTATTGAACTCGATCGTCCCAAAATATTGTGATTTGGCTTCGGCAAAAAATTGATCTGCTCGCCCAGACAAGTCACGATATTTTGCCCAACCTCGTCCAATAATTGTTAATTACTTAACACCTTCCTTCAAACAGAGCCATATCTTTTGAAATACAGTAACACTGCCCATAGTACGGAGACCTCTTTAAGAAACGGACGCCTAGAGTTCGTTCTCGTAGTCCTTTATTAGTCCTTTTCTTTGACTCAATTCATAAAGACTGGCACTAAATGCCAAATGTCGATCCCAAGGTTTTCCCTCTCAAAGAAGGTTCACTGTACAGTACCATCGCCAAAGACAGAAAGTCAATAGAGCGAGCGTTTTCACTCACGTGGCCAGCATCTATGCTAATTCATGAGAACAAAAGAACGTGTTTACATATTAAGAAAAGAGTTCAATTCCCACAGGGTTGTGTTGGTACACCAACATGGCCGCCGTTTCATTGTTTTGGAAGACCAATATGGCCGTCGTGAAGTCATGTGAAAACGCTCCATAAAGAGAAGTGTGACGTCACGTTACCAAGGAGGCACAATTTCTGGATCACAACAATAGTGAGCTTAAGGAACGACGCCGGCGACGGTAAAGAGAACTGGAAAAAAGCAAGTGGTTTATATCCGCAAAACAACAACTGTGGACGTGCATCACGCTTGTGTGTACGTTTCTTAGTTGTCGTTGCATGATTGCGACGTGAAACTTCCCAATTACCCGCTTTACGAAGTAGGTGAGCACGACTCAAAAATTTTCTTTTTCTTTTTCTAAACTTAGATACGGTCCTTTCGGAGTTAACCCCAGAGAGTTTCGCTAATATTTGACAAATTGAATTAAATTGAATAACATCGATGAAGTTTGAAACAGTGCGAACTCACTTTAGAAGCGACGTTTTCGGTTTGTTGTCATCCAGAAATTTTGTCACCATGGCAACGTGACGTAATGACTTTTCCGCTCTATCTATAGACAATTTGCCACCCATCTGGAGGGGCTAACATCTGCCTTGCTAAGACAAACTATTCAAATAGGTGGGTACTTGTTTAAGCGCAGAGTACTGTTCGAATCAGAGAAGTGTCAGTGTTACAGGTGTAAGCGGTGTTAGCAAGATGTATGACCGTACTAAACTTCCACTGATTTAACATATTTAAAAAAAAAAATTAATGCTCGGCAGCCAGTAAAGTCAGGTTTTGTTCAGTCCACTTTCTCTGGAACTTTATTGTCTATTTAACACGTACTAAAAGGCCTTAACTAATACAATAAAACATGCTTGCTAAATTAAATGTAACCATGGTTTCGCTACCTTTGTGTGAACAATATTTATTTCGCTACTATACACATCGAGATTATCTGCCCTCTTTGGCAGAAAGTAAAAGCCTTATATTATTTATTTCTTGGAATTAAAAAAATCTTTGGTCACTATTACCAATGAAAATATCAATAATTCACAATTTAATGTTAGAAATGAGAGTACAAAACTGTCCCAAATGCACAATAAAAAACTAAACTTCTCGTCTAATCTCGACCAAGCATATATTTCAATCTTCAGACAGGCGGAAAGCGCATACTGTCAGAATTTTATGACCATTTCAAATATATATGTAGATCTTAACAAGACACTTTTAGTTATCAAAATAGCTGGCACAATGCAGCAAAGTTCTTCATATGTATGTCGAAGGCGAGTTATCTTTAACATTTTGAAAACATTGGAACTACTTGGTTTCAAAGTCTAAGAAAAACTATACATTGTTCTCTNATCTTTGGTCACTATTACCAATGAAAATATCAATAATTCACAATTTAATGTTAGAAATGAGAGTACAAAACTGTCCCAAATGCACAATAAAAAACTAAACTTCTCGTCTAATCTCGACCAAGCATATATTTCAATCTTCAGACAGGCGGAAAGCGCATACTGTCAGAATTTTATGACCATTTCAAATATATATGTAGATCTTAACAAGACACTTTTAGTTATCAAAATAGCTGGCACAATGCAGCAAAGTTCTTCATATGTATGTCGAAGGCGAGTTATCTTTAACATTTTGAAAACATTGGAACTACTTGGTTTCAAAGTCTAAGAAAAACTATACATTGTTCTCTACTGCTAAAAATTAGTACAGTTTTGTCTTGTATTTCAGCTGTAAATAAACTTCTGTTGTTCTGCGTCTCGGCTTTGCTCAAGAGACAAAGCAAAAGCTGCAAATTAACACATGTTAAGGTTTTCTTCATTACTACGTTTCACAAGGTGGTTCTAGCTTAAAATTCTAAAATGTGACCATCTAAATCAAAGCTGATGACAGCACCTTTCTCTGCTTTCTGTGGTAGTGTCTATTATTATGATGTAAGCGGTAAATAAAACTCGTAGGTTGGTCAATAACATCCTGGCATTTCACTTTACCGAAGGTTACTGAAAAAGTTTTCCTGTCGCAGATAAGTTTTGGTATGCTGAGTAAAAGGGTTCGTTTCCTGGAACCCTTAGGTGTTATAATTCCAATAAATGTCACTTACAATACATGTTCGCCCGTGCTGTTTATTATGCCGTAAAAAAAATGGTGTTTCAACTAATAATGAAATGTTAAATTACGTCCATAAAAATTGAAAACTACTCAAGCGGTCTGTACGTAGCCATCAGTTTGCTATGAACGAAATCAATCTAACAGATAATAATTGTGTAAATTAAAGTGAATTAAATCCACGAGTAGCCATTAAAATGAAACCTATTTGTACTGGAAGTACTTGGTACCATTTGGACGAGGAGTGGGGTGGGGAAACTAAAAGCATGAAGGGTCACTTCCCAGTCTCCAAGTAAGAATTGTTTCTATTGGGTCCAGACCTTAAGTCAAGGGTTCGCCACATAGAAGCACTACTCGGGTACAGCCACGAGGCTGTACTCGGGCTACCAGTGTAAATTCAACAACTCCTTGCTTCATAACTGGACCACATATGAGTGTAAATTAAAGATGCGAATCCGTAGATCCAAATGAAGAAAACCGTGGTAAATGGCCTGAAACGACAAAGACCTGACTGAGACGACGCCCATCGTTAACTTGATTTTATGTACAAACTTGGTTAGCTTCAAAAGGCCGTATCTTTGCTCAGCGTTTTCTTAACTTCCTTCAGACTCTTGTGAATCTTATTCTTGTGTCCAATGAGTTTGATTCCCATTCCACTGAGGTCCAACTCGTCTTCTGAAGCAACCTGTTGTAAGTGCGTAAATCCGGCTTTGCTGAACATCTCGTTGTATTGGCCCATTTTGATACTTTCCAGCCAGTCTTTGATAGTAGTGAAGTCGGTGTATTCCAGTTTCGGAGACCTGCGAACAGATATACCGTCAAAAGAGCTGGAACATGTCTACTTTGAAACAAACAGTCAATGAAGTCTACTTGACGTATGAGACTGTTTACTTTAATAGTCTATTTTGTGGCCAATTATATACCCCATCTTAATCACTTTTGGGCAAATATGTAATTTTCGAGATCCCAGCTTAGTCACTTTCTATTTTTATGAATTGACCCATTTTTTTAAACTGAATGAACAACACTTTACTTTTCATCTGCAGTACAAACATTCTGGTAAGTTTGCTAACCGTAAACATGAAGAACTGTCTTACCCCCAAAAATCCGAGAATGTGCGACTCCATTCTAGTAACTCTATTGAAAACGTGACCCCATTATAGTCAATCCAGGCGTGAAAATGCGACCCCATCCAGCAGCACATCCCCATTAGCCTCTTAAAAGGCAGTACCCTCCCCCCTACCCCCCTGGGCTACGGATCAATTTAGGATTCTGGGAAACTGCCCACCTACCCCTCCCCTAAGCTAACATAAACACTTACTTCTAACTTAGGATAAAATGATGGCTTAGGGCAGGGGTAGGTGGGCAGTTTCCCAGAAACCTAGATTGATCCTTATTCCCTTCGCATTTTAAATTTCAAAAACCCTCAAATGCCATATTTTCAAATTCTCCATACTTTTAACCCCACCCCCCCCCCAAAATTCTCAAATCTTTAGTGAACCAATGCCTCCGACCCTATTTCATAATTTAGCCATTTTTGATTTAAATGAAATGTTGGCTAAATTAGGAAAAAAAGGATAGAAATAAACGAAAGTCTCTACTGGCTCGCGTCCGTGGCATATGACAACAATAAATATAGATGTAACGACTACTCCTTACTTTGGCTCTGGAGTTGGATCCTCGTTAAGCCTGTCTGGGGAGCGAATTAACACATCCAACCGCTTGACTATGTCAACAAACTTTGGCCTCTTGCTCCTGTCAGCGTTCCAGCAATTTAACATGATCTGGTGAATAGTTTTAGGGCAGCCCTGGAATAACGGTAGAATAGAATGAAATTATCTATAAGTTATTGCATCCTGCTGCTAGGTCTTTTTTGACTAACGCAACCACAAATTTTTATCGAGCATTCAGAGCATCGTGGGCTTTTAATTCCAGTAGAATGAATGTCTACGCCTATGGATCATGTGAATGTGACATGTGATCCCCCTATTAGAGTCGCTTACAAACGTGCAATAGAAAATTAATTAGAAACCTTATAAAATAAAACAAACTTCAACAATGAGAGGATCCTATTTCATCTGCCACAAACACTGTATGACTAGGCAACTTTATTACGTCCAGATTTCCTTTACAAGGTTACAATCACTGTCACAGTTAATCACCAGCTTGTATCAGTCTTAGCCGGTGTAACTCCTACGTTTCTTGTTTGCTTGTTTGTTCTTTGTCTTATTTTTTAATGAAATGCATAAGCATGGCGATAATCTTCTTTGCTTTAAAATATTTAAGTTGTCCATTTAGCTTTGCTAGTTATACCCGGTGCTCTAAGCCGGCCAAGGATTATTAAAGGTTGAAGTAGCAGAACAATTACGGGACAATATCCGTGATTCTTCATCGAAATAAGGAGTTTAAACTGTCGTTCGCAAAGATTTACATCCAGCTTCCAAATACCTAAACAACAGAACAGAACTGTAAACTGCGGTCAATTAGGTAAAACTTTTACAGTTGTGAGTGTAATTTACAAGTGTAGCTACTGTTCTGTTATAGAGTTTCAGTACAACTCACGTTAGAAGCAAAAATAAGATTTCAACCTAAAGGTTATGAAAGTAACACGTAGCCATTACGTACCAAAGGCGGTGGAAGACGGTAGCCACCTTTGACTCGGTCCATCACCTTGATAAAAAAGACAAGGCAGACAATCAGTTAGCCAGTACTCAAAGATAATAATTCAACGATACCGGATAGCTTTTGTGCCGAGACCTTACGAAACTACGCGCCGAGCAATATCAGGTAAGTGTTCACACTGCACCGTGTCGTTACGAAAAGCTGTCCGGTAATAGTGTGAATGTAAAGTTAGTTTTATAAAGTTAAGCTGATGAAATAAATGTTCCACCGTTAACCATTCTTAAATTCTTTTCCCCGCTAGTAGAAAATGTCAGAACCCGCCAACTGAGGTTTCTGGGTCATGTGCTCAGGATGCCTGATGATGAGCCATGCAAGGAGTACGCCCTGTATATTCCACCACATGGGAAGAGAAAACCAGGAAGGCAACGAACCCTGTTTCTCAGATACATTCAACACCTTTTGGGGGACACAGACAACATGATTGGCCCGGGCAAGCTGTCTGATTTGGCACAGGATCGTTGTGGCTGGAGGAAGCTCGTAGTCGCCTGCTCTGCAGCCGACCGATGATGATGATGATGAAACTGAACACAACTCCAGAAAGCTGTTATGCTGCACGTGGAGGCTGACACTTGCACAGGCCAACCAGAGTATCGATGCAAGCACAGGACCCCTATAATAAGCTGATGATTCTTTTAAAGTGTATATGACAGAAATTTTTTTATTTGCTTGATAGAATCTATACAGTGTTTTGATAAGGAAAGCAAAAAAATTTTTTCGATAGCGATTTTTCTTCCCCGTGTTTTAACCTGCCAAAAACGTGAAATTTCACTTCCGGTGAGCTACAAAACCGCGCCGGCGAAAACAGAAGACTGGGAATGATTGTGACGTCATTTCAGGACATTCTATTTCGCGGCAGGCAAATTACCTGGTCATTTCCTTATTTGTGTGGCAAAGTGTGGAGAATGTTTTTTGAGTTTCGCTGACCTTTTTTGATCAGAAACAGCAGAAATCAATAAAAAGTCGCTTCAGCTCGAATTTAATTGCCTGTGAAAAAGAATAATGAGTTTTGAAAGCGATACGGAATAAATTCAATAGCTTATTTGTTTTCAACTGCAGCTACCGGATTAAAGGGAGCTGAGCTAGGGGACTTAAATGCCATGAAAAAGTATATAGAAAAGAAACATCAAAACGTTTGAACACGGTAAACAGCTCTCCATTTGATTGTCTGCTTGGTTTTGTATGTTGTTGTTGTTATTTTGTTGTTTGGATTTGGGGAGGGGAGCATTAATAAATATGACTGAAATAAATCATCGATATCAATCACAACCACTTTTAATGAGTGGTATAGACTGGTATGACTGTCAGACAGGTCACTTAGCACGATACAGAGTAGTAACCTATGTTTCCACTCACCTCAAAATTAGTCCAATCCCAATATGGCCTCTCTGCAAATGACATTATTTCCCACAAAAGAACTCCATAGCTCCAAACATCACTTGCCGCTGTGAACTTACGATACTCAATCGCTTCCAGAGCTGTCCATCTCACAGGAATCTTACCCCCCTGAAGTAAAATACGAGTCAAGTCAAACGGATGCACGAGAGGGCAGGTGACGACAGAAAAAAACAAAACAAAACTTTAATGCAGTTAAAATAAACCACTTAGTACTTCTTAAGTAGACTTAAAGTAAATACACGAAAGCTACCAGGGGAAACTTTTGTGCGGCAACAGAATGAACAAAAAGTGGCTTTGAACAGATTTGCCAACCCCCAAAAGGCAAAAAAATATGACATTCCGAACCTAGAGCTGGGAGAAGGAGTAAGAAATGGGTCAAAGGTAGTGAGATGCGCCAAATATACGAAAGTGCTCTTGTACATGTAAGTTGCAGGGCCGGAAAGCTTAGTTTGTCTACTAGACGACCGCCCCTCCACACCAGATATATCACTCCCCTTTTCGTCGCTGCAGACAAGATGATGGTCAAGTTTGTTGGCGGCCATCTTGAAACGAAGGAAATTGCGCGTCTGCGCATTTGGTGGCAGCGACAAGTCACAGCAGGCATAAGGAAAAAACGCGACCACTAAGGTTTTCCTTGGATTGAGCTGGCTATCTATCCATATCTAACTTGGGAACGAACCCCACTGCTCCAAATGTTTTCTGGGGTTTGACTTTTCGAAAAAGCCTGAGAAATCAGTTGCCAACTCGTGAGAGCTTGAGACAGGTAAGAAAAAGTCGTGAGATTTGGCAAGTCTGCAATCTACCTCGAACATCTGCAAACGTGGTATTTATTTGTGCAATATCCACACTATACTGCGCCTAGACGAAATGTCTGCAAACCTACCCAACACGCATTTATGCATTATATTTTCGTGGATATCTGAAGCCTTGTCTGACATAACTTTGTGCAGTATTTAAACTGGATGTCTCCTAGACGAGTAGGAGAGGATCTCCAAAACTATCTGATCAGACATTATTATTTGTCCAACGATATCCACATTGCATCTGCTCTTGAAGAATATCTACAGCGTGCCTCACATACATTCATATTGACAAAACACGATACTGACAAACCAAAAAAAAACCGTGAGATACCTTCGTTTCATAAGCAGCGTCTTCCAACTCTCTTGACAGACCAAAATCAGCCACCTTACATACCATGGTTTCTGAAACCAAAACATTCCGAGCAGCAAGATCCTGGAATAGAAAACAACAGAACTTCAAAGCCAGTACTTATCGAGCTTACGACAACTTAGTCGGCTATACATACAGTATAACCAAGCCTAAGAAAACAGCCGACATTTCGCGACGCCTTACTGCTTTCCCCGAGAAATGACGTTTCAGGAACGAGCGCAGAAATTCCATACTGATGACGCGCACTTCCCAGATCTGGGTAGTGCTTCTGATTGGTTGAGGCAAATGTCACACGCGGTACGACCAATCAGACGCACTACCCAGACCTGGGTAGTGACACATCATCAGTATGGAATTTCTCAGTGAAGTCGTTTCTCAGACGTAACTTCGCGGGGAGACCAGTGGTCGCGTCGTGAAATGTCGGCTACTTTCTAACTAAAGCCTGGGTGACTGATTAACCATTTCCTCTGAAGTCGCCGGAAGTAAAATATGTTGAATCCTTCCTTCAAAAATATCTCAATGTTTTTCTTTCCTGATATTTCACCATACAAGGGTAAGGTAGAGGCGCACACGAGCCAAAGGCCCAAACGGCCGGAGCTTATCCTAGTTTCATTAGCATGAAGCACCTAAGAGCATAGCTACTTTCCACCGAACGAGATACTAATCTATCGCAGGGTCACCCCCCAGCAATATTTCGAAAGTACCCATTTATACACCTGGGTGAAGAGAGACAAAGTGGAGTAAAGTTCTTTGTCTAAGGAAACAACGCGACGGGCTAGGCTTGAACCCCGGACCTCCAGATCCGGAGTTCGAGGTGCTAACCACTCGGCCACACACGCCTCCACATCATCACCATACAAGACAAACTAAAAAATATAAGCCAGGGACAAGCTGGCTGAAATTTACATACCCGGTGAACAAAGTTCATTTCGGACAGAAACTTCATTCCCGAAGCAACGCCGCGTGCCATTCCAAGCAGTTGCTGTATTGTTAATTTACCATCCATTTTCTAAGAAAAATCAAGTTTCAAAAAAGGTCCAAGTTTATTATTTTCAAGTAAAGACACATTTACAATGGATCGACCTGCAGGTAGCTAAGGCCTAGGCCAAACCAAACTCAGTGAGTTACCGGCGTTCATGAAAAGTTCGACGTCTGGCTCAATGAGGTTCGTCTGAATGAGTTTGGATCGTCTAACACGTTCTATCCGTCTGCTTCAGACGTACAAAACGCCTGAGGGTCGTCTCCGGGACAAACGTCGATCTTCACATGCAACAAACTTAACTCATTAATTAAAAATTTGTATGATAATGTATTCTTAGTAGTCTCGTTCGGGGAAAAATTTATCGCTGAACACTCGCTGACCGGCTAAAATTGCTATTTTGGTCTGATTCAGTTGATTTGTTTGAGGCGTCCTAACTTCGACGTTTGACCCAACAGACGATCTTAACTTAATTTACGTCGACCCAAATTAGGGTTTGATTCGTCTCATGAGAAGTTCGTCGTTTGGCCAAAGCCTAAGCTAATCAAGGTGGTCCAGTCTTTCAAGATAGGTACTGATACAGTAAATCATTCACAACTTGAGAGGATTTCAAAACAAATAGAACATGACAATTTTATCGCAAACTATTATCAGAGTGCCTGAGTACAATCTTTTTACAATAGGATACAACCTGCCTCAGTTGGTAAAAAAAGGCGCAAAACTTATGCAACAACGTCCTTTATAATGCCCGTTAGAAGTCTGTAGTTTCAAGATACAACAATCATCAGTAATTATATCGCGAAGGCTGGTAAACTTACCTTAAGAAAGTTGTCTAAGGAGCCATTGGCCATGAACTCAATAACAATCATTAACGGCAAGGCTGTTGGTAAATATGAGAAAATAAGAGTTGGAGGCCATTTCAGTAAAGTCACTAGAAAAGGTTTTTTTTTTTTTTTTTTCATTTATTTTTAAAACAAATATTTACGTACAGATTGTGAATGATAGGCATAGGCTCTCTATTTCCACTTACTTTTAGTTACAACACCTTCCAGATATATGACATTTGGATCGCAAAACTGTCCCATGATGGAAGCTTCAAATATAAAATCTTTACGGTTCTTTGTTGCTGCTCCAGCCTACACGAAAGGAGAAACGATAATCAAAGTTATCCCAGAGGAGAAACAACAGCTACAGTGGTGGAGAAAAACGATGCAGATAATAATTTATAAGGAAAGTACTTGGTAAATCATTCATTCAGTGGTTTTGAAAATTAAATTCGGGTTTTTATAAGTACTGTTTTGATTCCCTCCAGTTATTCTTTTGTTGCTGTTGAAGTGAAAGTCTAGAAATATAACAGAACACTTAAAGTCAGATCCCTCGGGAAGCCAGTTAGATTTGTTTTCCCTCCAGTCCTGATGTTTCCCTGGACTCTCGGGAAAACAAAACTTACTGTTTCCCTTGGGATCTGACATTAAGTGTATATTGTTAAACAAACAAGGAAATAATGAAACCAAAAGTAAGAGTTGTACAATGTTATGAGGTTCTAAACCAATGGTTATGAAAGAGGATTCTTTCTGCAAATCATCAATTCTTGGTTTTCACATGACGTCACCAAAACTCAAACCAATGAATTATTAATTCTTCTGAGCTTTTACTATCATGAAGCATTATTTTAAACAGTTCTTTTCCAAACGTATTGAAACGGATTCGATTTAGTATAGAGTTTTGAAACATCCTTAATTAAAAAACAGTCAAAACAAAATGTCTTTAAATCAGCACTGCTATAGGTTGTTTCGAAACGCTTTTCCTATTTGGGTTATAAACTTCCTTGGATATAAGCTCTCCCCCCCCCCCCCCCCCCCCCCCCCCCCCCCCCTTTTCGCCCTACCTTAAAGCAATCTCCCCCTCTTTCCCTCATTCTCGTTTCACGTGCCCACCCTTACAAAAAAAAAAAAAAAAAACAAAAAAAAACCACAAAACTTTTCAACAAACATGACAGAGTAGTTTTTTTCGTTTTTTATGTTCCTTTTGTCAAACATTACTATCATGAAGCATTATTTTAAACAGCTCTTTTCCAAACGTATTGAAACGGATTCGATTTAGTATAGAGTTTTGAAACATCCTAAATTAAAAAACAGTCAAAACAAAATGTCTTTAAATCAGTCCTGCTATAGGTTGTTTCGAAACGCTTTTCCCATTTGGGTTATAAACTTCCTTGGATATAAGCTCTCCCCCCCCCCTTCCCCCTTATATGCCCAGGGCTTTTACGCGATAGTTAACGGCAGTCTCTGCTACTTGACTCAATGCAGTTTCAACTGGCCAATTCTACAGAAGACAACAACTAAACATTAACCCACCTTCAAAGTTTTGACAGCAACAAGAATGGGTTCTTCATCTGGTCGTGTTAATGTCCCTTGGTAAACATCACCAAATTCACCTGAGTTGGGAATATAGTAAATTAGAAAGGCCTTCAGCCTGTACATAGTATATCAGTAGGAGTAACCTGATCATTCAAAGAATCAATGATCCAATAACTCAGACAGCCTAATTTAATACAAAGAATAACAATTTGAGTGGTCACACTAATGATCTTATCCACAAACTCAAGATTTAGAACCACCTTCTACAGCATAATAAGCAGCACTAAAGCAACCCACATACACTGTTCTACACACGCTCAGTGGTTTCTATTTAAATGATAAAACTTTGATGCATTGACTCAAAAGCTCAGACTTCCTTGTACTGTATGATATACAGTACAACAGAGACAGTTTTGTAGGTGCTGCTTTCAGAAAAAGAAAAAAAAAACGTTGTGAACATGACCCAAATCAAGCATGTTTGGAAAATAACTTCTCTCCAAGCCCCACGCACCACTCCACCAACTTAACACTCCCAGTCACTCTGCCCAGTCACCACTTAACTTACAGAGAGCAAGTGGCTGGCCACTCATACCTCAAGATTACTACAGTACCAGCCTCTTACATAACATACAGTCACTGCACACTAGCTTGCACCCAGTCACAGTTAATGATTTCAGCCACAGACTCAAAAGACATGAGATAAACTAGGGCTCAAAATAATTTTTGTATGATGGCCAGTCATGTTGACCGGCCAAACAATTTTAAGTTCGATCATGGGTCACTTCTGGCCAGGCAAAATATGGCCAACCAAACAGATTTCAGCTCGGTCAATACCATCTTCGACCAGTCAAAATATTGAAACATTTATTTTATAGTAAAAGCCACTTGCGAAACAAAACATTGCCTTGCACGCTCCAAAACTTGTTGCATTACAAGATAGAACAAAATTGAAAGAAACATTGTTCATCTAACATTCAGGGCATTTTGCGATGTATTCTTTCTCATGATTTTGCAGATGATAAAACACGCAACAAAGACGGAATTCCTTTTTTTTTCAATAATAACAAACAACTTTAGAGAGTTGTTGTTTCTGTCCGTTACTAATAGTAGATGTTGATTGATGCGATATTATTTTTGTTGTTGACGGTTTAGCGTACTTACAGATGTACACGTTTTTGTTTTATTTTATAGCAAAACGATAAGTGTCACTTAGACAGCCGCAGAACGTAACTTTCTCATCCGTATTCTCCAAATTTGAGACTTCAAGCAGCTAAAATATTTAATGATTTAACAGTCTCTGTAATTTCCAGAATAAAAGTGAATAAATCAACTTTTTTAGTTATTTATTTGAAAGCCATCTAATCGACCGGAGTGACTGAGAGTTTGTCCGGACAAACGGTAATCCTGGTGGCCAGACAATGTCTGTTGACTGGATGTTATTTTGAACCCTGTGAACTTAGGTCAAAATCAACACTTAACCGTACATGTAGTAAAACATTGCCTGTACCATTTTCAGGGGTGGTGTCGATTCTCAAGAAAATGTAACTGCCTGACATACCTCCACCAATAACCTTCTCTAGGGTGATCCACTTCTTGTCCAGCTCTTTGGCAAACTCTTTCAAGGCTTCCTCTGGATCTTCATAATTACAAGGGTCAATATACAGCCTCTGACCATGAGACGGCAATTCAACTTTACATCAATATAAAAAAAGAACAATAGATAATAAATTAAGGCATTTAAAAAAATAATACATGTGCGTACATGTATGTCAAAATGTGGTGAAGGTCATGAAACCACCTCGACTAAGTACCATACCCTATGGCCAGTTAAGCTTAGCTGCACATTGTAGAGGAATGGTACACATTGCATTGATGTGAAACCCCAGTCACAAACATCGTGCATCTTACAGAGGGTTGGTGTGACACCCTCTTTAACTTATAGCCAAGACATCAAGCATCAGTCCATGCTTTTCTTTATATAATCAATCTTTTGACACATCTCTACAGGAAAGTGCCAGTGTCCTGCATCTTACAGAAGGTTGGTGTAGCACCACCTTCACCTTTATGATACAGACACCTAGGGTCGGTCCATGCTATTCTTTAAATAATCAATCTGTTGACACACCTCTCCAGGACAGTGCCAATCATAAAGGTGTCCTTGATCTTATGAACGGTTGGTGTGACACCCCCTCTACCTATATAACACAGAAAGCTAGGGTTGATCCCTGCTATTCTTTAATCAATCTAAATTGACACACGTCTCTAAGAAACGGCCAATCACAAAGGTGTCCTGCATCTTACAGAGAGGTGGTGTGATACCCCTTTACTTTTATAACACAGACACCTAAGGTCGGTTGATGCTATTTTTTAAATAATCAATCATCAGTGCCAATCACAAAGGAGTCCTCCATCTTTCAGCAGCTAGATTTATCCCCTAAGAATTCACACAATAAAAATAATCTTATTGCACATACACAATACAGCAGTAGGAAAATAGAAAAAGGCAAGTTACAAATATTTCCTATTAGTAAAATCCAACTAGTGGTCTATTATCAACGCTGCATTCTGATTGGTTGAACTACTACTAGGCTATATGTCATAGCCCACTAGTAGTAATAAGCTCCGGCTTTAAAAACCAAAACAATGGCGGCTGAATCACGTTTTGCTAGCTCAAGTTGTTTTGTCTCAATATTTTTGACCAACTAGTTGGATTTTACTAAAACAATTATTCCTCTCGCCCTCATGGCCTCTGAGTCAATAGCCCATTTGGCCTTCAGCCTCATGGGCTATTGACTCAGAGCCCATTCCGGCTTGAGGATTAATTGTTAATTATTCCTATTTTTGTAGGAAATTATTGTAGTAGTAATGAAAGTTAAGATGTTAATTAAGATGAAAAGGTAACAAGAAATATCAAAAGGGCAATTGCTAGTATTGTAGCATTCACAGAAAAAAAAAAGGTGAATTTCCTACTTTGCTCACTATCTCCTGGTCTTCCATATCCTTTTAGTATCCTGTCCCTAAAAGAAATATAACCAAATCCAAAAAAAACTTACTAATTAATGAATAAATGATAATTATACACTGTGCTCTATCATGAAATGTAATGCAGTTATTCTTTTAGTATACATGTACCTATTCCTTTTGAATGCAAAACAGACATCATGACACAGGCAGCCATCTCACAGCCTTAACACTATAAGCGACAATATCCCACACATACAAATTCTCCAGACTTCTCCATACATTTCCTCTAAGTAATAAGAAATTTTTTTTCAAAATAATATCAAAGGTATTTTTTGGTGATCATTTTACTAATTTTCATAACAATTTCTCCTGATGATGTATTGATTTTTGTTAGGACAAAATTGATGTTGGTCACCCTTGGGACTTCAAAGTTGAGATTCTACAGAGGCAAAAAATTGTTGCGTAAATCTTCCTACAAGTATAATTATGCTACATCAGAGTATAAACTCATAATTTGATGTTCACTAATAAATTCTTTAATTATTATCTATTATGAAATATTAACCATCAATTACTAACTATTATAACCTAAAGATAATAGTTATCTAAATAATTATTTTCTGAATTTACCTGCGCCGCATGCACACCACAAAAACTATTAGGGCCACGATGATTAGCACCACAATTGGAACAGCTATGTACAGAACCATCCTAACTTCCTTAGATAATGGTGAGGAATCACCTGGAGAAACAACACATGCAGCACAATTCAGTCATTCATGGCAGATAGAATGAAGACAAAACAATGACTATAGATCAGAAAATGCAATTATGTTTGTAAGAGGAATTAGTGACATCTTTTTACTGTCAAAAAAATCTGAAACAAATTAAATCCTACCTGGATCTTTTGTGGCAGGTGAAATTTCCTCTGTAAGAAAACAAATTTATACCATTATCATAATCATTACATTGTTTATGTATGTTTACAATGAAGGATTACAATGATTGCTTGATGTTGTAAATCTCTTTAATTTTCCCTGTTAAATATCTTTAAGTATGTAGAGTACCCACACTGCCTGCCTCGAATAGCATTAGCTAAATGCAGACAGTGTGTACATGTATGTTTAATGTACACTGTATTTCTCTGCTTTTTAACCCATTCACTCCTCGAGATTTTGCTGAAAAACACGTTTTCAAGCTAGTCAAGTGGTTTTCTGGTCACTGCCGTGCTATAAAGAGCAAAAACTTGCCACAAAATCATGATCAGTTTAAGGTTGTACACTTCACCGCCTTCTGATCCAGATGCAAACTATTAGCTTGCAAAGTTCAGGCATGCGCAGAAAGCAAAATTTCACAATAGTTTTTGAGTTAAAAGTGACACAGCAGTCTTGACTTTTACTTTTCGCTTTCTCTCCTCCCCTCTTTTTTCGCTTTCCTTGCCTCATTTTTTTTTCTCTTGCTGGGCATTTAGTAGGCTTCATTTTGGTGGGAAGAGTTTTTAGGAAAGCTTTTACGATCTTAGGATTAGGTGAAAGGAAAGGTAGGTGGGTAACTGAACAAGATCTTCATGGAGATTTTGAGGTCAATGTTACATGGTTTTTGTCCTTTTTCTCTGGTGTCCTAGACTGAATTGTACTCATTCTGGTATGGTTCGAAAAATCTCTTCACTCTGCACATTAAGTTAGCGGACAAAGTTGCCCCCTACCGTCAAAACTGATGACGTCACAAGCGATAGAAAGGACATGGATCCACAGGGGCGGTTACTGGCGGCTCAGGGGTGAATGGGTTAATAAAATTGTTGTTATTGTTGTTGTTAATTACTTCCTACATGTAGAAAGAAAATGCAGACTTCACACAAAGCAGAATCAAAAAAACACTTGTCAAATGAAAATACGAGCGGTGGAAGCGGCGCGGATACAATTTTCTACAGTTTAGATTGTGCTGTTATCAAGGTGTTTTGATACAGTTTTTGGGAGACCATACCAATGTTTTTCAATCACCTTAAAAGTGATTTTATCCTTGTTCAATTGCTACAAAGTTTTACACCAGTGATCGACTATGAATTGAAGTTTGTCAAAATGCAGTTTTTAATAGAATCGATATCACTATGACAACAATAAACAAAAAACTTTGAAATCGATAAAATCCAAATTTTGCGTGATCTAGACCTGCTCCACTGAAAATCTGACACCAGGAACATAAAGCGTGGTGTTTAGCAAATAACCTCCCTGAGAAGTAAAAAATTCTGTATGTTTGAATTCAATAAACCGCAAACATATTTCAAACCTAATATTTTAAATAGCCGTGATAAATTGTTTAATAGAAAGAGTTCTAAATGACTCACGTTAATCAAGCAACAGAAGGCTGCTTAACATCATTAATTTTTTCAATGCTAGGAAATTTTGGTGTATTTTCTTTCTTGCAATCCTGAAAGCTCAAAAAAATTCCAAAATTTCCGAGCATCAAAATATGATGTTAAGTAGCCTTTTGATGCTACTTAAGATTAATTTGAGTTATTTAGAACTTTTTTATTAAACAACTTAAGAGTGGATGTCAGTAAATATCAACCAGAGGTCTACAAAAGTGAAAAATCGAAAATTCTCAAAAAAATTCACAAAGTAGCACTAGGTAAGCTATTAACAAAAATGTAATTTTTACTTTGATCCGATAATTATTTTCCACATACGGGGGGTTTGAATTTTAAAACGATTTTTTTTTGTGACACATGGTCTCGGGTCTGGAAAACCCGGTCAGAGAGCCGCGAAATCAATAATATTGATTTCGCGGCTCTCTGACCGGGTTTTCCAGACCCGAGACCATGTGTCACAAAAAAAAATCGTTTTAAAATTCAAACCCCCCGTATGTGGAAAATAATTATCGGATCAAAGTAAAAATTACATTTTTGTTAATAGCTTACCTAGTGCTACTTTGTGAATTTTTTTGAGAATTTTCGATTTTTCACTTTTGTAGACCTCTGGTTGATATTTACTGACATCCACTCTTAAGTTGTTTAATAAAAAAGTTCTAAATAACTCAAATTAATCTTAAGTAGCATCAAAAGGCTACTTAACATCATATTTTGATGCTCGGAAATTTTGGAATTTTTTTGAGCTTTCAGGATTGCAAGAAAGAAAATACACCAAAATTTCCTAGCATTGAAAAAATTAATGATGTTAAGCAGCCTTCTGTTGCTTGATTAACGTGAGTCATTTAGAACTCTTTCTATTAAACAATTTATCACGGCTATTTAAAATATTAGGTTTGAAATATGTTTGCGGTTTATTGAATTCAAACATACAGAATTTTTTACTTCTCAGGGAGGTTATTTGCTAAACACCACGCTTTATGTTCCTGGTGTCAGATTTTCAGTGGAGCAGGTCTAGATCACGCAAAATTTGGATTTTATCGATTTCAAAGTTTTTTGTTTATTGTTGTCATAGTGATATCGATTCTATTAAAAACTGCATTTTGACAAACTTCAATTCATAGTCGATCACTGGTGTAAAACTTTGTAGCAATTGAACAAGGATAAAATCACTTTTAAGGTGATTGAAAAACATTGGTATGGTCTCCCAAAAACTGTATCAAAACACCTTGATAACAGCACAATCTAAACTGTAGAAAATTGTATCCGCGCCGCTTCCACCGCTCGTATTTTCATTTGACAAGTGTTTTTTTGATTCTGCTTTGTGTGAAGTCTGCATTTTCTTTCTACATGTAGGAAGTAATTAACAACAACAATAACAACAATTTTATTAACCCATTCACCCCTGAGCCGCCAGTAACCGCCCCTGTGGATCCATGTCCTTTCTATCGCTTGTGACGTCATCAGTTTTGACGGTAGGGGGCAACTTTGTCCGCTAACTTAATGTGCAGAGTGAAGAGATTTTTCGAACCATACCAGAATGAGTACAATTCAGTCTAGGACACCAGAGAAAAAGGACAAAAACCATGTAACATTGACCTCAAAATCTCCATGAAGATCTTGTTCAGTTACCCACCTACCTTTCCTTTCACCTAATCCTAAGATCGTAAAAGCTTTCCTAAAAACTCTTCCCACCAAAATGAAGCCTACTAAATGCCCAGCAAGAGAAAAAAAAATGAGGCAAGGAAAGCGAAAAAAGAGGGGAGGAGAGAAAGCGAAAAGTAAAAGTCAAGACTGCTGTGTCACTTTTAACTCAAAAACTATTGTGAAATTTTGCTTTCTGCGCATGCCTGAACTTTGCAAGCTAATAGTTTGCATCTGGATCAGAAGGCGGTGAAGTGTACAACCTTAAACTGATCATGATTTTGTGGCAAGTTTTTGCTCTTTATAGCACGGCAGTGACCAGAAAACCACTTGACTAGCTTGAAAACGTGTTTTTCAGCAAAATCTCGAGGAGTGAATGGGTTAAAAAGCAGAGAAATACAGTGTACATTAAACATACATGTACACACTGTCTGCATTTAGCTAATGCTATTCGAGGCAGGCAGTGTGGGTACTCTACATACTTAAAGATATTTAACAGGGAAAATTAAAGAGATTTACAACATCAAGCAATCATTGTAATCCTTCATTGTAAACATACATAAACAATGTAATGATTATGATAATGGTATAAATTTGTTTTCTTACAGAGGAAATTTCACCTGCCACAAAAGATCCAGGTAGGATTTAATTTGTTTCAGATTTTTTTGACAGTAAAAAGATGTCACTAATTCCTCTTACAAACATAATTGCATTTTCTGATCTATAGTCATTGTTTTGTCTTCATTCTATCTGCCATGAATGACTGAATTGTGCTGCATGTGTTGTTTCTCCAGGTGATTCCTCACCATTATCTAAGGAAGTTAGGATGGTTCTGTACATAGCTGTTCCAATTGTGGTGCTAATCATCGTGGCCCTAATAGTTTTTGTGGTGTGCATGCGGCGCAGGTAAATTCAGAAAATAATTATTTAGATAACTATTATNCAACGCGTTCACGCTTTACATCATCAAGCTTGCTATATAAATAAATCATCCAAGATTCGGTTCTCCAATTAATGTCGTCGCTTCTCTGGAAACCGATTTTGTTAGTTATGTTTATTTCATTTTATTTTTTCTCCTCAACTTTTTCGGGTACGCACGTGCGAACGGTGCGTACAAGTAGCTACGCCCCTGTTTAGTCTCTTAGCCCTGAGCGTTCCTCTCTTGTGGTTTTCGCTGGAGTTCAGGATGTGGTCCTCCTAGTATTTCACGTCTCTATTAAATGAGAGGCAGCACTTCTTGTTTACCGTTTCGTTATCAGACAGCGCTTAGAGTCTTAGCCTTTCATTTAATTTTGATCACATTTTTATCATTTAGTTACTCAGCATACGTTCGATCCTGGCCTTGTAAACTTATACTTTTATACTTTAAGGGAGCTTAATACCTATATTAATTTTTTCTTCGTTTAGTGTCGTCCAACAGACCCAGTTTTTTGGCATTTTTAAAAAGGCAAGAAAAAGAAACGACAAGGTCTATTTTTTTTGGACTTAAATTAATTTTTTTAATCTAAAAAATGAGCATTCTAACAGCATTTCCAGGCATAAAACGTTCGGTGGTGTATCCTTTTTGCTTTTTACCCTTTTTAGGCCTTTTTTTATGAAATTGACCATCACATTTTCCGCCATATTGAGTTTGTGTCGATTTGGTGACCATGTCTTGTTGTTTTCAGGCTCCACGGCAATGATGCTGGTATTTCAGGCCTCCTGTTCTCACATTTCTCGTGATTTTTTTTTTCACCCCACCAACCGACCCATGGCCACCCAAAACCAGGAAACCTATTTGACGCTAAACGAACAAAAAGGGGATGACCTAAGCCTTATGGTTTCTTTTTGGGCTTCCTTACCACATTGCTTCTGCGTATTTCTATATACTTGTCTTTTGCTTTGTTTTGTTCTTTTTTGTCGCTAAAATAAACTGAAACTGCATAAAGACCCTCTATATTCCCTTTGGAGATTCTCGAACGCGCATAAAAAAAATGAAAAACGCAACGATTTATTGACCGCAAGGGCAATGGGATGGGGTTAGGGCTCGTTACTGCGCTCCGGTTCACTAGTGCGCTGTCAAATGGTCCCAAAATACAAAATTAAAAATGACTGTGGACAGACTATTCACGTCTAGACATCAAGCATCTGTTAAGATGGGACTTATTGCCTCTCCCTGTTCATGGAGTTGATTCAAGGTGTTGACGTCAATTTCGTGATGCCCTGCATGTTGCTGGGACATGTTTCAAAAGGACCTTTCCACAGCTACGGAGTCCGCCGTCACCTTGTCAACCGTGCAAGAAATGACGTACTTTACAAAAAAAAAAGAGAAGTTATTTTCGATTTGCCCCGCCCCCTATCCCCAGGGCTTTTCCCTTAAAAAATGGGTGGGGCTTCCCACCCATTTTTTAAGGGAAAAGCCCTGGGGACAAGGTTGCCCAAATGACTGGACTTGTTCCTGTAGTTGGATGTGCGGGGGACAGTAACCGGTCTAACTAATTGCACTGTGCATTAATGACAGTTTAGCTCAATCAGAAGCCCCTTTTCCCTGGCTAGTTCAAGGTTTGTACACCTCCTTTAAGCTGTTTTTTTCGGTTCTTACTGAACTTTTTGATCTTGAGGAAATTAACAACGACAGGAGCAGGCTATGGGCTTTTTTCATACCCCTAATCCTACATCACGGGAAATTGGGAAATCCCTCAGGTTAGGAAAGAATTTGATAATCCTTCCATAATCATCCATTTTTTCACCACATGAATAGGGTATTTTTTAGCTTATTTCGAGGAAATACTTTTTGCTTCAAATCCAGGGTGGGGTTTTAAACACATTTTTTAAGCCAAATGGTTTTCGCGTGAATCTGCTTACCCGCACTTTTCGTAGAAAAAACGACGAATACCCAAAAAAAAGCTCGTGTTGTTGGTGGATGTCTTGTGAAGAAGAGTTCAGATCCGTGCCGCACGCCACACAAGGCAAGCGTTCCGTTGAAATGCGAGCCCCAAAAACCGGTGGTAAGCAGTCAATCTGTGAAAAGTAACACAATCTCCGTCGTTTGGGAGCAGCCGAAGATGCTCTTGCCAATGTTGTCCTTGATGTTTTTTTATTTCCAGTATCTAGGAAACCCATGCTAAGGTATGAAACATACACTCGTAGGCATTTTTCTGTCCGCTTAAGTCTAATTCCTGGATGCAGTAACGTCATGCTTTTTGAAGTTTATTATTGTGCTTTGCCCTTTGACAACCTTACGTGACTTTCAAGTGCGTTTGGTTGCAGAAGATGGCTAAACTCTGCTTTTCTTGTTGGAAAACGGCTTTAAATTTTATCAGATCGCTCAAAAACACGTGTTGGTTTCTGATAGCTGATAACGTTAAACCACTGTTGCTCAAACGGATTTCTTATTGCACTTTTCTGAGTTTTTAGCATCGGCCCGCCAAGTCTGGAAAGCTCAAATTTCAGAAAAGTACTACTTGTATTTTTTGGCCTCAAAAATTTTCCTTTCAGTTGCCCATAGTTTTGAAAGCAGATTTTAAAAGAACAGATAATGCTCTTTAACGTGGTATAAGACTCGTTATTGAAATTGAGGTACCAATCGACAATTTTGGGCTTTGAAATTTGCCATTTTTTCATTGAACCAAAACGTTCAAAATATTGAAAATAATGAAAAATCTCCAAAATATTACATTTTCGTTCAAACTGAGTAAATCACCACTTAAAATGTGTGCAATTATGTACTCTTCTGAATAAGTTATTTTTTGTCCGCATTACAATGGATTTGAATTATAAAACGATTTTTTTTGTGACACATGGTCTTGGGCCTGGAAAACCCGGTCAGAGAGCCGCGAAATCAATAACCCCCCGTAAGTGGAAAATAATTATCGGATCGAAGTAAAAATTACATTTATGTTAATAGCTTACCTAGTGCTACTTTGTGAATTTTTTTGAGAATTTTCACTTTTGTAGACCTCTGGTCGATATTTACTGACATCCGCTCTTAACATGGCTATTGAAGGTACAGAATTTTTTACTTCTCTCAGAGGGTATTTGCTAAACACCACACTTTAAGTTCATGGTGTCGGATTTTCAGTAGCAGGTCTAGATTATGCAAAATTCGGATTAATTTTTATTGAACATTGTCATAGTGATATCAATAATTTTACTAAAAACTGCATGACTTGACGGACACTGACAGACTTCAATTCATAGTCAATCACAAGTGAAAAGTTTGCAGTGATCGGACAAGGAAAAAATCACTTTTAAGGCGATTGAAAGACATCAGTATGGTCTCCAAAAAACTGTATCAAAACACCTTAACAATATTATTATAATAATAATTTCTTACCTTTAGTTTTCACTGATACCATAACATATTTCCATTTGTCTCTATCTTTTTCCTCTTCATTCAACTCACTGACAGAGTAAACTCGAAACTTGAGAAAGCTGTCAGGAGGCAAGCCATTTATTGTCACAGTAACACTTGTGATGTTGTCTTGGCTTGGCATATACTGTACCCTTGCTCCACATGGCTCTTTACAATCCTTGTAATTACTGGACTCGCATTTGAAACAGTCTACAGCATATCTTAACTTCCCACCACTGTCATCAGTTGAGCGTTTCCACTTAATCACAACATACGTTGCCTTAACCAAAGTAGCATTTGCATAGAGTGGTGCCGCTGGTAAAGCTGGGTAAAGGTGAAAATTCATTGAGATTGATTAAGCAGTGCAATTACAGTGCAGGCCAGAGCTAGGCAAACTACACAGATGTGATTTGAACTGACAAAATGGGCGTAAACAATTAATTATGTTTGTAAAGTTTGTTTTAATATTAGGCAATATTTGTGTTCTTCAGAAGGCATCCTAATCTTGGTGTTCCTGTGGTACAAAGCCACAGATTTTCGAGGTATCGGGGGCAACTGTTGATTAGCCGCCCCCACTTATTTTAGCAGGGGCATCTTGGCAGGGAAACTGGACTCCTTTTGACTCAATTTCGTTTCCATAAGTGGCGAAAGTGGATCCGTAACCAATGATTACCTCTAGTCATACAAGGCAGTAGGATTTGTGTTTTCTTTGAAGTTGCAAATTGCTTTTAACATTTAACCATCCACATGTTCACCCTGTTGTGACCTGGACTGTGAGTACATCTACTATCATTATATTATTATGGTACTAGTAAAGTAATATCAAATGTCAAGTAAAGCACTACATGAACAGTTTATTTCTATAAAGTGGCCCATTCAACTGAAAGGGTATAGTGTCCAGGGAAGCCCTGAGTCTTTAGAAAAGTAATTATACAAAACATATCATATCAGGAAAGCTCTTGAATTTTTTTGGTCCTGATGCATCACATGCATTGGTCTTGATGCAGTGAGAAAGTAAATGAGTTTTACATCAATTAAATAAAAATCATTCACTCAAAATATTATGCCATTTCTGATTGGCTCCAATCCCCCAGCTTATTCGTAACCAGCTGGCGCTTACCATAATATTCTGAAGATGTAGGGTTAATAACCCATCAATTCAGTGGGTGATATTGTCCATGGGCTATTAAAATTAATTATTGAACCAAAGATAAACTGAACCCTGCATATGTCTTAGGTATAGTACATGTATTTACCTTTACAAGGAGCTAACTCAGATTTCTTGTAGAATCCATCATTGCATAAGCAACCTGTTCTTCCAGTATTGGATGCTGAGGTTGCAGGACACTTGTCGCATTTACTATTGTTTGCCACACTCTTGTAAAAGCCCTTCAGACACTCTACGTGTAGGATTAATAAGAGCATTTTAAGTTAAGACCATCCAAACACTGTTTGCATCGCAGATGTTCCGCACCTTCAGTATTCTTGGTTTTCAAGTGATGTCACGACAATCCAAACTCCAAAATCGCAAGAACTTTTAAAGTTTTATCTCCATCTACATGTAGCAAAAGATCTCTTAGTAATAAACTTCTGTGCAAGTTTTCAATGTGATAGCATTTTCCATTTTGACAATATGTACATGTAGCTCATTCTAATTTTCCAAGTTTACTCCACATGATGCTAATATGGTGACTGAGAAGGCCGTCACATTATGCTAAAAAATAATTTTATTGCATGATATTATGCTCTTTGAATGGTGAAAGTATTAGTACACTGTAAATGTCTTTAGGGGAATAATCTGCTTGCTCGCAATGAACAACTGATCAAATCTGTGGCGATACTGAAACCAGATGTTTGCATTATTTCTGGCCGCTTTACATGTATTGTTTGTGCTCCTCAGATGAGCACGAATATGGCGTCCCCATAGTGACCCCTGCATGTATAAATTTCTGTTTTTGAAAATAAATTTTCTATTTTGAAAAACAACTCAGCAGCGGGAAACTGCACAGATGCGAGACTTGGGCCAGGTTGTTAATTTATCAATATTCTATAATATCTGAAATTCTTGGCTTCAGACATTCCACTATTTTGATTTTAGTTTTTGATAGTGTGACAGTGCAAACCACCAATAGAGTGTCTGCGAATTAGTGCACAATACCATGTTCGCACCCTGCAGAGTCGCAAATTAAGACATATGTTGCCATTTTTGATTGGCTAGTTTCTTACACAGTTTGTGATTTAGTCCAATTTGAATTAAGTGTTGACAGGCCAAACACAATTAATAGCTCATGACAAGACTGAGACTGAGCTCATGATAGTGTGAAATGTGACCTTAAAGTCAGCTTGAACACCAGAGGTTTTTCTTGCTCTCTTTTTGCGTAGTTCATGCAGTTCATGGAGTATATTTTTGTAATCTACAATTGAGAATGCCACTTTGAGTCTCACATTTAGAGGTTATAAAGCTGATCTGTAATTAGTTCCTGTGGTTTATGTTTCTGCAGATGTTTTCTGACAAGATTTGATCACAGATGCTGTTAACCATGAGATGATAAAATAACCTATGATTAAGCCTTCAGCTTTTTTGTTGTTAAATAAATAACTTTGATTTCCTCTGAAATGCCTGGACCTACAGTAAAAAAAAAAAAAAAAAAAATTTTGGCCTTGATTATCTTGATTTCCTGATTTGTTTTGACATTAGAACTGTCGGCTAGATTGCAGAATATGTTGTGGTGCTTCTGCAGAGATTGGAAGATGCTGGAAAACCAGTCAGCAAATTTACAAGCAAATTCTGGCCTTGAAGAATCTCTCCAAGCATTGTTCAGAAGGAGGTTTTAAAGTTCCAAAACCTTTTTCGTTGTTTACAGTAAACGATCCTTGCCAACTCCCTTCTGTGATTTTAACAAGTCACTGTGCCCAACAATCACACACACACATAAGAATTAGGCCAATCATGAAACCCATAAGAAACTGCCTATCAGAAACACTCACATATGTCCTTGCAACTCTTCAGGATATTAGAACCAGCTTTTGTGCACTAATTCACAAACGGACTATATAAATGGTTTAGTTGAGTTCGCAGGCCGGCTGCAACACAGGCCAATCCAAACACTAGAAGTAGGCTGAGCAGACTGACTGCTGGGTCAAACAACAAACTTGACAAAGTATTGAACTAAGTTCAAATGGAAAAACTACATGGCAATAAGAAAAAATCATTTTCCTTCTTAAATACTCTGTAGGTTAATCTCTTTCTTTCTGAACATGTATTTCATAGATCAAAGCCTGATCAGGAAATTTTTGACTATTGTTAATATGCAACCTCACTAGGTGCCTAGGGCCCTTAAAGACTGAGCACCATAATCTTTGACTACTATTTAATTAGTAAAAGCAAAATACAATTCTTACCACTGCATTCCAGGACATTTTCGTCAGATCCATTAACAAGCTGATAGCCAGGTTTACAGAGGCATTTGATTCCATCAGTGATATTCCATTCTCCACTACTAAGGCACACTCCTGACAGTTTCACTTTGTTAATCGAGTTCACATCAGTACAACGCCCTGTTTGTTCCTCTAGATAGGAGTCATTCACAGGAGCAGCTGTCCTTGAAAATCTCACCAAAACACTGCCAATCTCAGAGCAATAATTGTAGCTCACAATAACACGTGATAATGACACACAGGCTCCTCGGTCTAAGAACGCAAGATACACACCTCCCTTTTCGGTTATGATTTTACTATCATAATCATACTCCTTTAATTCTTTAGGTGGAGGCAGGACTTTTGGCACAATTGTTTCTACCTTTTGGTATGTTTCTTTAGCCGTGAGAGGGTTTAAATCAACTCCAACTAATTCTTTTTCTACATGAAGAACATAAATGCTTAACTCGTGATTGCAGACAGAACTTTTAGATGTTGGACATCCAAGAAGATTGTACTTCAGTTCAACATTCAGCATTTTAGCATCCTTGACATCAATGAAATCTGATCTTAGCCAGTTAGTTGGTTGGCTTTTAATTGTAATGTCGCAGACTGAATATGCCCTCTGGCTTGGTGCTAAATTCCACTAAAGAAAATAGAAACATAACACATCAATTCAAAACTCAAATAACATGTACTATAAGGAGTACACCAGACTCTCCTGAACTATCAACATATTCTCACCATGATTCATAAGTACATGTATACACAAGGCAAATTGCAAGAACAACCTAGCAGTTTGTTATAGTTACAAGAAAGTAAGAAATCAAAATACACCAGTCCTGTACTCAATTAACCACTACTACTATGGGGCTTCTCAGGGATTATAAAACAAAGTATTTATTCCCAGCTTGAAAATGGGTCATAACAAAGTTATATTAAAGAATCCCAACTACAGTCTGTAGTAGGAGGCAAATCAGTTGGCTATTTTTTTGGCATTACCAAGGATCTCAACTCATTACTACCGACAACAAATCCAGCTAGTGGTCAGGGTGGGACTTGAACTAGGGGCCTTTGGATTACAAGTCCAACAACCTAACTGCTCAGCCATGCTGCCTCCACACACTTGTGCTTGATGCTACTTGATACACGTGACCAGCACTTGATGCTTTATTTACAGACACCCCCATAGCCATCAAGTTTACAAAAGTCAATGACCAATAAGAATTTAGATAATATTAATGCATGGTTTTCCCTCAACTTTTACTTTAAAAAACTGATGCCATTGAAATAAATCTCTCGCTTCTTGACCATGCTCTACGAGTCTTGTTCTGATGCCTTTATTATGAGCTTATGGTGGCAAAAGTTGAAGACCAATAATACAGATTATATTACATTATGTAAATGTAACAGATGGTTTTCCCCTTTGCAAAAACTGATGTCCTTTAAACAAATTTCTGACTTGCTTCTTGATCATGCTCTGAAAGTCTTGTTTTAGTACCATTACTGTATGTGATGTGATAGGACTGGAACCTCCATTGTAAAATATAATATCTAGTTTACAATATGGTGGACCGTAACAAAAATAATAATAATAATGATAATAATAATAATAGCTCAGTGTATGAACAGAATGATTGACTTGAGTGACTGACGCTCTAGGTGCATGGTTTACGCCCGGCTGATGCACAAAAAGAACACCAGCAAAGACTGCGATAATAGAGACAAAAATAATAATAATAATAATAATAATAATTTCGCATTTTTCTTCCAAGCATTAATCAACTTTTGCAGGCCATCTGATCTTACGTGATGGTGCAATTTTGCACAATTGACCTCAAATCACATCTTATTGCACAATTTGAGGAAAATCACAGAATTTGTTAAAAAAAACGCTAAATTCAAGTAAAGTAAACAATGAATTCTAACTTAAATGAAACATTTTCCCAATCTTAATGTTATTTAAGGTGATTTACCACTAAAGAAAGCCTTGCAAGACATCTGAAACCTTCGATCGAGGTATCTGGGCAGCCATTTTGATTTCTGAGACAAGCAGTGTGGTCAGCGGTGTAACAGTGTCATGTAATATTAACCCATTCGCCCCTGAACCGCCCGTAACCGCCCGTGCGGATCCAGGTCCTTTCTACCCATTGTGACGTCATCAGTTTTAACGGTCAAGGACAACTTTCTTCACTAACTTGTGCAGAGTGAAGAGATCTTTCAAACCATACCAGAATGAGCACAATTCAGTCAAGGACACCGGAGAAACAAGCAAAAAACCACGTGACATTGACCTGAAAATCTCCATGAAAATCTTGTCCCATTACCCACCTACCTTTCCTTTCGCCTAATCCTAAGATCCTAAAAGCTTTCCTAAAAACTCTTCCCACCAAAATCAAGCCTACTAAATGCCCAGCAAGAGAAAAAAAAAATGAGGCAAGAAAAGCAAAAAAAGAAGGGAGGAGAGAAAGCGAAAAGTAAAAGTCAAGACTGCTGTGTCACTTTTAAACCCAAAAACTATGTCGAAATTTTGCTTTCTGCGCATGCCCGAACTTCGCAAGCTGATATTTTGCATCTGGATCGGAAGACCGCGAAGTGTTCGACCTGTAAACCAGTTTGTGGTAAGTTTTAGCTCTTTATAGCACGACAGTGACCAGAAAACCACTCGACTAGCTTCAAAACGCGTTTTTCGGCAAAATCTCTAGGAGCGAATGGGTTAAGCAAAGGACCAAGCTTTTTGAAAAAAATCCACTTTTCAGCATAAAACAACCAAATCTGTCTATTTCATGTCAAATCAGGTGAAAAAGTTGGTAAAAGGCCATTTTTAGGTTTTTTGATTAACCCATTCGCCCCTGAACCGCCCGTAACCGCCCGTGCGGATCCAGGTCCTTTCTACCCATTGTGACGTCATCAGTTTTAACGGTCAAGGACAACTTTCTTCACTAACTTGTGCAGAGTGAAGAGATCTTTCAAACCATACCAGAATGAGCACAATTCAGTCAAGGACACCGGAGAAACAAGCAAAAAACCACGTGACATTGACCTGAAAATCTCCATGAAAATCTTGTCCCATTACCCACCTACCTTTCCTTTCGCCTAATCCTAAGATCCTAAAAGCTTTCCTAAAAACTCTTCCCACCAAAATCAAGCCTACTAAATGCCCAGCAAGAGAAAAAAAAAATGAGGCAAGAAAAGCAAAAAAAGAAGGGAGGAGAGAAAGCGAAAAGTAAAAGTCAAGACTGCTGTGTCACTTTTAAACCCAAAAACTATGTCGAAATTTTGCTTTCTGCGCATGCCCGAACTTCGCAAGCTGATATTTTGCATCTGGATCGGAAGACCGCGAAGTGTTCGACCTGTAAACCAGTTTGTGGTAAGTTTTAGCTCTTTATAGCACGACAGTGACCAGAAAACCACTCGACTAGCTTCAAAACGCGTTTTTCGGCAAAATCTCTAGGAGCGAATGGGTTAAACAAGTGTCCTTATTCTTTCTCTCTGATTGTTTTCTTTTCTGGATCAAGATACCCGGTAATTGGACAGATTTAATAATTTTGTTTTAAAATACATGTAGATGTTTTATTATTCCTTAACCTTTACATTCAAATTGCCTGTTAAACAACAGTTAAGTGGTTATTCTCCTTTGAAACCTGGCAAAACAATGTAAATTAGCCCTGAAAAAATCACATAATTTATCACATAATAGCCCTATCTTAACGCACAATCTGTCCAGCTGAAAATGCTGCATAATTTCTGATTTTTCATTGCACCCTATCGGAAGGCTTGTTTTGGGTTGGTCAGATTCATACTATAGAGTCTTCCTTTTTTTGCTTTGCAAAGTAATGTATATGTTGTAGTTAATTTTTCATCTCAGGTAATTTTTATTTCTCCTTTGTTTCAACTTCATGAGCATACATTACTATGCCCAAAAACAAAAGAAAAACAAAAATTACCTGAAATAAAAATTTAACTACAACATATATATTAAGTACTATATAAGACAATGCACACCAATATTAGTTTTACTGACACATTGCCGACGCATTACCAACATGCTGCCAACTGCCAGCCAGCCTGTTGGCTAACAGTCAGCGGTTGCGCCGAAAGCTGGTGATAAATTTCACATACATTTACACTGTAAGTCTATTACTGACTGTTGACCTTACTATTGACCCACAGACAATATTTGGCTATTGAAAACATTACAGCCCCTCCCCTTTCCCCACAATGCTTTTAAAAAAACATCAATATTTTTTGTACTGATATTCTTGTCTTAAGCAACCATTTCAAACTAAAATAAAACTCATCCATACCTAGTTAGCTATCGAAATGTCCAGTTTCTTTAATATATTTGAATTTTGTTTTAAAATACATTTCTAAATTTATTATAACGAAACTGAAGTTAGTCACAAATTGGGTATTGCTTACCCCTGCACCACCATTACTCATCCTTGTAGTATGCCACGACCAAAGTACACCATCAATGGGTTGTTTCAGTACAATTTCTGACAAAATAAAATGGAAATTTTATATAATTATTTTTTACAATATTGTTTTTTTCAAATATTAAATATAAATTAATATTTGTACATGTACACAACATGTCACAATCAAAGGCCTTCACATTCAAACAAGAAGTCTACATTTCAAAAGAGATCAAAGAAAATGCTATCGCATCAGAGGGCAAATCATGCTGACCAGAAACAAACTGCAGAAAATCAATATGCATGTTACGACCTCTCAGTATAAAACAAGCGGCAAAAATAATGCACATTTGCTCAGTCAAAACATAGAACCCTCCAGAGCATAATCTAGCCGCTAATATGTCTTTCCTTTGAACATTATTTACAACGATCTCTCTTAGTTCCGCAGTTATTTCCTCCTCACCATCAAAATAATGTTACAATGACTTTGGCTATTGCCTCTTCTAAATCTTCCATTCATACAGGCATCTGATATTTCCAATTCTCGTCCAAAAAGCGAAAACGTACACAACGCATGCTTGGATTGTTTGGATTTGATCTTTTTCACCTTCAAAACACCTGAGTCTCGATCACACGCCTATTTGTGATTACAATCCCATCAGAACATTTGAAACACTCAACATCTCCAAGGAACCAAATTAGCGAAACATCCACATTCTGGATGTTTTGGTATAAGTTGGGAACTTGTAACTGGCCCAGCACTATCAAAGGGATGGCGGTCCAGAGGCTTTTTGCACAGGTCACTTTTTAAGACTTGACTGAAACCAAAAACCACGTACGAAAAGCCTATGGCACCCAGGGTAAGGTTCTCCACAGATCACAGCACAGCTTCAAGTCAGATGTTGGGTCAGAGTTTATCTGACATGTCATATTTTTGTCAATGTTAATTCAAAAATTACTGGCAATAAATTCAGCTCAGCAAAGAAGCATGATCTATGAACTGGGCCTTACACTGTACGTGTACAGTATATTAGGGACCATTTTACTTCAGAAGTTCCCTGTTAATGTTATCCATTCAAAAAATTTCTCTGTTTCTGATTGGCCCAAATCCTGTGACTAACTCTTTGTAATCATTTTAGTTTTAGGTCCTGTTTACAAGGAGGGAGGGTAACCCTGGTGCTAGGCTTACCCCTAGCAAGAGGGTTACCCTAGCATTCGCATATTCTGATCGCGTGGCAGCACAAAATTACATTATGAACCTTGTAGTTCAGGAACCAGCTGTTATAGATGGTTCTTAACTACGTATGTATCTCTGTGACTACAAATAATAGATCTAATAGTCTTTCCTTCAGATTTCTATCACATGCGAATCCCATGCTTGGACATAGTACTCGAAAAAAAGACAAGAAACTGAAGAAGAAACTGATACTTTCCTAGAGTGTGAGCAAAATTCCTCCAATATATACGCAAACTAATTTTGGAAGCCCTCTTACCTTGTCAATTTCGTACATTATTGAGAGATTTTATCCATTCAAACCTTTCCATCTATGAAAACGGATTTCCCATTTTATTTCTTATTTTAGCCCTAATTGTATAATACCACGGTCCAATAATCTCTGTAGAACTTTCCCTTTCGTGCTTATCATCTTAACCGGATATTTTGAAATTCCGTGATGTTCTTAAAAAATGTTTAGATGGGAGGCTATATTTTCTTCGCGAAGTGGAATTGAGAAAACGAAATAATTATATCTTAAGCAGTTTAGTGGTTCGAAACTACCTAGCTATTGGTGGTCTTTCATTCTCTTTTGAGAGATGTGAGCGCGGATACTGTAAATCTCTAATCACGCAGCGGGTGCCAGTCTTCTATGGCAGCTTTCAACAAGTTGAAAGAAACATGCACATCAAGCAACATTACTCATACACTGTTGTTTCAACTCACAATTTTTCATCGGTCATTTTAAAATAAATCAAAACCGTACTAAGCAGTCAGAAAACCAAGCAATTCAACTGGTAATCCGATTACAGAACTAGTAAGACTTAACCAGGATTCACGAATCAACGTAGAAAAACTTCGTCGTGACAGAAGACAAAAAGCGTCCTTACCAGTTTCGCCATTCGCTTGATACACGGCCGTAGTTATCCATAGGATAAACGTCCACAAATAACCGTTCATGGTTGTGAGCAAAGGTCCAAAACTCTTCTTGCGAAACATAAATATTGCTGAAGTATGATTTCACTTCCTTCGCTTGATCTTCGTACGGTTGTCAATGGACGACAACTGCGCAGAACCGGAAATCAAGCATGCCTGACCTTCGCGACCGCGCCCATCTAAATACGACACAAGGGCCCTGGTTCAGCGCTAACAGTCACGTATTTTTAACTGTGATGGACGGGTTAATGAACATCGCTAAAACAATCAATGGGGCTTTCAGGAATTCATATCGAACTGTCTGTACCTGAATAAGTAAAAATATGTAAATGTTTGCCATGTTTACTGTTTTTCCTTAATTTTTTTTTCTTTATGGCCCGGGTTTCTAAATAGCTCGCAATCCTTCTGACTTTACGTAAAAGTACAACAACAAGTGATTTTTCCCCGGGCGGGTCCGATAATTCATAAAACCGACACAATTCCTTAGGTCTTCCTTAGCATTTCTAAATATTCAGATACAGCTTATATTCCATTTTTGGAAAATCTCTTAAGTTTTCTCATTTCCGGTGCTTGATATAAATGTACTGTAGTTTTCCTCGATGCAAATAACTCGCACAAAAAAAGAACAACCTCGTCCCCCGGGGTTCTCTCCTACCCGTATTCAAATCTCGCAGATTTGTAACTTTCGTCTTGTATCTATATTCATTATTCTTCTATAGCTAGTGTATAGCTCACTTTGGGGGTTTGTGTTGCAAAATATCGGGCAAATATAATTCACCATTTTATTTTTGTTTTCGTTCTTTATTTTTCCTATCACTCATCCTGGCGATCTCTATCTTTTGCTCGAAAATCTGTAAGTGAGAGTATTTGAGCAGCGAAATCGGGCGAGTCCTCTTTCCGCTCGAATTTTCCGGCAAAGTCCATCTCTTTTCATTTCCGGTTCCGGAAGTTGGCCCCAGCTCTCGCTCTCTTGCTTGCTTTTGCCGCAGAAAACACAAAAAATCGACCGCGCGCTCGCGCCTCGCTTGTGAAAAAAATTGAACTCAACTTGTAGGCAAGTCTACTTGCGCCCTCTCAACTCTCGCGACTTCGCTGCTCAAATACCGTAAAATTCCGAAAATAAGCCCCTCCATGTATAAGCCCCTCCAAATATAAGCCCCCCAAGCAGGTAACGCAAAAAACCCTCCGTTAAATCGCCCCTCCAAATATAAGCCCCCAGGGGCTTGTACTTGGAAAATTGCCCTCAAATATAAAGTAAAACAAAGCAAAAACGGTAAATTTACTTCCAACTATAAGGCCAGCCCAATCGATTTTGAAACGCAAATTTCCGTCCATAGATAAGCCCCTCCGAATATATGCCCCTCCTAAAATAAGCCCCTCAAAAAGGGCCTTTGAAAAATATAAGCCCCGGGCCTTATTTTCGGAATTTTACGGTACTCTCGCTTACAGATTTTCGAGTAAAAAAAAAATTGGTCGCAATCTCGCCGTTTGCCTGCGTCGCAGACGCGCTTAACCTTATGGTTTAGACGCGTGCGTTGGGAAAAGCCTTAGCAACGACGCGAGGTTTGTGAAAGTTGAATAATTTCGAAAATTCATTAAAATTCATCTGGTACCCGTCAGATGGAGGTGATCAATACAGATTCTCTACGGCTGAGAACTAGCTAGAACTTTAGTCGAAACGTCGCCCTCGTTAGAAGGTCCTTTTACCTTACAAATTAATCAGTTTACAAGATGATATGACAGAATATAGTTTTTTATATATCACCCTACCTCTCTCGCTCTCTTGTGTAAAAGACACGCTTTTCATTAACAAAATCATCGTCGCAATCATTAAAATTTTATCAATGAAAATCAGGCTGCTGTTTAAGTTTACATTAAGACAGTTTTTGTCCCTAATTTAAGTTTCGTAAAATGGCACCTGAAGACGCGTAATTGAACTATAATTTATATTTAGCCGGATTTGTGTAAATGTTACCGCTAAATAGACCTCTTCCTTCAAGCGGTCTTTTTTCGGACCAAAATAGCTAATATAAGAACTAAGTGTGCATCTAATTTTTTCTCTTCACCTCCTTTCTTCCTCCTCGCTCTTCGCTTTCTCCTTTCCTTTTCCTTGAATTCCTTAGCCGATTATTTTCGTCCTTATCTGGCGCAAAAAATACTCTCTTTTGGCCCTTTTTTACTATCAGATAGCTGCACAAATTTTGCTAGGTTTGTTTTCAAAAAACCTGCTAGATATGCATTTTCTGGTGGAAAATTGAAGTGCTCATTATCACTGACTGAAAAACACTTACTCCTTTCTACAAAAAAAATATAATACTCGACGATCGATATAATGTATGTGGGATGTATATAAGTATGGGAAATAAGGTCTGCTCTTCAGGGATACCAAGCGTCCTTTTTTGAAACGCAGCATTACTGGGAACATCCTTCTATCCTGCCTGTTGGGTTCTGGCCCTCACTGACAGTCAGAAACTTTAGTGGGATCAATAAATGTGAAAAAATCCCAGCTATGATCGCCATTTCACCGTCTAAGGTGGTGGCTTCTCAGTTGTCCAGTTCAGTATGTATTACATGCCGCGGTGTCCTGCTAGCGTCACTTCTACTACACCATCGTACAATGCATTAGCCTTTGTGTTGTAATAATCAGGAATTGAGCCGGGGGGGGGGGTACTGCCATATATGTATGTGCCGCTGTGAAGGGTATGGTTTTCAAGCAGTTTACTCTAGGATAGGGTATATAATCAGAGCGTTTGGGTCTAGAATAGGGAAGCCTTTTTTGCAGGAAACTAATCAGTTGGTTAAAGATTCTATCTAGACAAGGGACTGTGGTATAAGGTTTTGTTTTGGCTAGACTACTGTGCTAGTGACCTCAGTAGGTTCTGGAAAACAGCTACTCTAGGATGGGGGGGGGGGTGGTTAGCGAGTTTACTCTAGTATAGGGTAGCAAAATTCAGCTGAACTAGCTCAGGTATCCAGGGTCCCGGCGGCACATCCCCACCCAGAAATTCCTGAAGTACTCTTCCCCCCCCCCCCCGGGGGGATTGAGGTTTAAACTGAGGTCTCTATAAAACTAAAGAACACAAAAGTCAAGTACAAGTAAAGAGGAGGAAACACTATTATAGTACAACTTGTGTTTGGGATGGGTCTGGTGGAGGTGCAGAGTGAATAAAGTTATCGGATAAATAGATCAAAGTAGTTTGAGACTTATTAGGCACATGCTGGTTTACTTAGAAAAAATGGTTAATTAGCCTTATTCACTGTTTTGCTTGAAGTTTCTATTAGTACTCTGAAGTGGAACCATCATGTTGACTACGTTCATCTGAAAAGGGCAAACAACAAGAGGCCATACTCTCTCAGAGTTCTCAAGCAATGTGGCGCTCCACTGGCTTGATTGTAGCTTAGGTATTTGTAACTATTGTTTGCCATATAATACGCCGTCCCCCGTGGGGGCGGGGGGGGGGGGTACTCCGGATTTCAATTTCGGAATCTTTTGGGTAGAAAAATTTTGGCAAGTATTTTTTGGTGGTAGCTTGATTTAAGCAGGGATTTTAATTTTTGGGGATATTCAAAACTTAATATGTTTCTATTTTTCGTGTTATATCATTTAATTCTTTCTGGGAATTTTTATGGCTCGGAAATCCGGGGTAGGATTGTTGGAAGCCCTAGGGATTTTTTTAGGTTTTGATCTTTGCCCCCATTCGATCATCCCTCTCACTTGAAATCTGGAGTACCCTCCTTGAGGACAAAACATACCTGAATTTCTGGCTTCTAAGATCGAGAGCATTCAAAAAAGGGCTATGCGAGTTCCTTTTTGTAATTACAATAAGTCTTTATATGCAATTTCTCTTACTACGTTAAAATGAGAGATGAGTCCACCTGTATCAGGTCTACAAGAGAACTGAATGAAAACTACCCGCCCCGGTTCACTTTATTTTCCCTAAACTGGAGGAAGTTCAGCATTTATTATCATCTGAGGTCAGGAGCTAACTACCGCTTGAACTCGGTTTATAAGACCAAGCGCACTCACTATTTTATTACACGTCCTTTTAAGTATTAGTTGGTGTTAGTTAGTGAGTTTTAAACTAGCTTTGTGATTTATTATCTATTTTTGTACATATTATTTTACGATTGTAAGTAGCTTTGTATTTCATTCAGCCTTATATACGTAAAATGAATGGCTACAATGAGTTTAAACAGTCATTGTTAAAGAGGAAGAACTGAAATGAAATTTGGTACAAAAAATCTGATGACCACGTCATCCGTAACGTTAAAAAGTATAAATATCGTTTGAGTTAGTCAGGTGATTTGTCACGTGATCCTTTCTCTAGCCTATAACTGGAGTAACGGTGACGGGTTTAAAAAATATCTTTATAGCCTTTATATTAAATACTTCTGACATGACAGTTTCCCCTTTTGTAATAAAGACTACTTGTCGTCCATCTCACTAGACATTAAACTTTTGTCTTGAATTATTAAAACCTTTAAAATTATATTGTATTCTTGAAGTACATTTGTTATAAATTTAGGTAGATCATATCAGAAACGCTATTAAAGGCCACATGCGCGGGGATGCAAGATACACACCTCTCGCCTTGGTTATGATCTTACCGTCATAATTCTAAATCTTTACTTGTAGAGGTGCAGGCAGGTCCGCGTTGGACGACGTGCAATGGTTTCTACCTTATGATATGTTACTGTATTGGTCAGTACCAAATCAGTTGCAAGTAACTCTTTGTCTTCATGAAGCACGTAGATGCTAATCGCGTGTTTGCAGAAAGAACTTGAAGCTGCTGGACAACCAAAAAGGCTATATGTCAGTTTAACATTCAGCATTTTAGCATCCTTGACATCAATGAAGTTTGTTCTTAGCCAGTTAGTTGGTTGGCTTGCAATGATAATGTCGCACACTGAATATGCCTTGCGAACAGATGTTAAATTCCACTAAAAAATAAAGAAAACTATATCTCATCAACCAGAACAAAGCAGCTTTCATCAAAATATATTTGGGGCTTTTTTTACTATAAGGTAGCGCTATAAATGTTAAATTCATTATAAGAGCGTTA